TTAATATTAGGGTAAAAACTTTGAGGGAAAACTATAGCTGCAACTATAAACACCAACATGAACAAGAGTAATGTGGTAATTAATTGCCCTTTTATATATTTTGGATTGTAATTTTTTTTTTCTTTTGACTTATCGGAGTCATCCAAGTGACAAACCTACAGAATGTAGTTTGGTTACACATACTTTAAACAAAATTGATGAGGAAGGCTTAAAACGTGACATCAATAAGTTCAGACAGCACTACACTGAGCAGGCATTCCCCTTCTGGAGTGATTGGCAAAACAATATCGACAAACTGGTTATCGTAAGGTTTATTCGTGATTCCTGCCCTAGCCTCAGAATACTAAGGAAATTATTAACATTAAGATGCAATCCAGCACATGTGGGTAAACCAAGTTTCACCTGAAATTAAATTTTACATAGTTCATAGTGTAACACATGCATACAGGTGGATCTGCATGTACAGATGTACTCCGAAGACAATATATTCACCCCTTTATAAATCAGCATTGCTACTAATGTTTGAACATATTATTAAAACCTCAATAGCATTCTTCAAAATCTTAAAGTTAATGGACTTTGAGGAGATATCAGTTTATACATAGCAGTTTCACCAGAAGATTTCAGTGGTTACCGGACAGTGTAGTTGGCAGTACTGAGTACACTGTAATCGTTATTGAGCTGTCAGTTTTACTTTGTGTCCAACAAATAATTGATACTGATATTATAGAAAAAGGGTCTGTTTCTCCAGGTCATACTTCAAGATTGGGCATATCTCTGGAGTACAAATTCTTTTCTCTAGGGGACATAAAGATCAGTTACACTGTAATTTCTCATAACTTTTTTTAGGTTTACACTGGAAGATTGGAACATAATTGTTGCCCCAAGGAAAAGACGAAATCCAGTTGAACAAGTCGACTCTTTGTTTTAGGGGCTAGCAGTTGGAAAAGTTGTGACAGTGGTGCTGTCAAATTGTCACGATGAGCCAGTAATTGGTGTTATCATGAAAATATAACCAGTGAGACCACCTTTGAAATCCATTACTGGAAAGGAACATATGGAGGAAAATGGTCACCTCAAAACGTCGCCTATAAAAGGGTTCCATGGACAGAGGAGCTTCCCAAAACCCGTGCCCTCCTTCATTCCTTTGACCTCACGGACTATTAAGCTGCAGGCCACTACAAGAAGGCACCTTATGGAGACGTATGCTTCCCTAAAAAATGCTGGTGTTTAATCACCATTATTAGAGACCTTAAGATCAAGGTTTGGCCATCTTACCGCAAACGGAAAACCGCAGTTTGCGGTTAGAGGTCTCACGTTATCAGTCTGCACATATTTAGAAATTAGGATTCGCAGGTGTAACTCGCTCCCTAGAAGGAGGGGCGGGGGGGTGTATGGATATTTTTTGGAACTACACATTACAAATAACCTTAAATTCTTCAAAGACAAGAACCATAAATATTACACTAGGCCGTTAAGTCAGACTTAACAGCTGCTAAGTTTTACTTAACCAAAGATACGTGTGCGAAGGCCTAAGTAAAATCTCAATTTACTTTTATTACATCTCATTAAAGTCGGAAAGTTGAAACGATGCAAGAAAGTTTAACAATAAATTACGCTGTTTAAAGAACATGAGTCTTTCTGTACCTTCAAAATCATTAAAACTAGGATATTCTTGTATTTTCAAAAATTTAACGCTTTCCAAACTAAAATGTGTTTTTCCAAACTTGCAATTTTCCGTCAGCCTCATGGAAATTCCTCTGAATGTATTCTTCACTCATTGTAGATCTCGTATTCCCAACAACAACAAAACTAATGCAGCATAAAATGTATTTATTTTACCAACAAAATTTTACAGGCAGTATTATTCGTATATGTGTATAAGAATTCTGCTTAAGCTATATCCAAGTTAGAAAAATTCTACATCTGATAAAATGAATAAAATATAATCAAGCTAAGATGCAAAAATTCTGCATTTGGTAAGTTGAATACAACATATTAAAATTTGACTGCACCATGCTATATATAAGATGCAAAAATTCTGCATTGGTAAATTGAATACAACATATCAAAATTTGACTGCATCAAGCCAAGATGCAAAAATTCTACATTTGGTAAATTTAATACAAAATACCTAAAATCGATCCGCGACTGCATCCAGTTAAAATGCAAAAATTCTGCATTTGGTAAATTTAATACAAAATACCTAAAATCGATCCGCGACTGCATCCAGTTAAAATGCAAAAATTCAGCATTTGGTAAATTTAATACAAAATACCTAAAATTGGCTGCATCCAGTTAATATGCAAAAATTCCGCATCTGAAAAAAGGATACAAAGTACCTAAAATACACAGGCTAAGATTCGATGCAAAACTACAAAACAAAAATCACTTCATAACAGTTTTAAGACATTAATGGAGATTATCAATAAATTATATCATATCATCTTAGGTTGCACTCAAATAGATTTTTTATAATCAATGGTAGTCTTTACACTAGAGCCTAAATAAGATAAGAAATATCTCAAGACAAGAAATTTTAAATGATTCACTGTATCTGACTTTTTATGCGCTGACGAAGCAATGTTAACGACTACGTGCGTGTGAACTCTGGATTTCCTCACAAGACCAATTTTGCCTAGAAATAGAAGTTAGTTTATGGAGAAAAAAAGGAAAAGCAAATATTTTTGAAAATTGTACGTGCCAACAAGTTAACAAGGCAAACACAGCAGATAAACAACGAACACCTCAATCGAAAAGAGGCGACAAAAAACTTTCTCATTCACGGTCAGTTGACAGAAGCAAATAAAGCTCTACGTTTCTTCTCAGAAGGGGGAGTAATTTTTAAATTACTCAATTTGCTGGTATTATTCCTGTGACAATATGTTAAATGGTGGCAGAAATCGGGCTTTCACATTATGTTGACTGAAAATACAAAAGGCTGACTCCATTCAACAGTGATTTCCAAGAAACATTTTTTTTTTTTATCATTTGACTTTCTCTTTTCAAGGCCTTTCAAAATTTATAAATATTGTTATGCCATTTATTTATTTCAAATTTCTTTCCTGCAAAAATCGTGAAAGTCGAGAACCAAAAACCAAAAAAGGGGATTACACAAATGAACTGCTAATAAATTGGATCTTTAAGATGAAATGAACAACTGCGGGTTCTTATTAGTCGAGCTTGCTTTAGCAGAGCGCGACTCTAAAAATGCAGACGTTTCTCATTGTTTTTTTGTCGGTGTGTGGCACTAGTTGGTAGGCCACGTGTTCCTAGCTGAGGCCGTGGAAACTGGGGATAAGAATCGTGACGACTTTCATTGTATGCAAATACGTCTCGTGATGAGCATGCGGTTTATTTTCGGCGAGGACTGAAATGACGCATGTAAGTTTGGCAATGATGTAATTTTCCCCGAACCGAGGCCCTTAGTTTCCATGTGATTATGTATGACATGCACGCGTATTAAAGTTAATACCACGTAGGATGAGAAAATATTATAGCGGGGAAATCCCGTTGTATGGTGTATTGAGGCGTTACGTTTCTCAGAACATTGTCGCAATTACCGGAACTGTACGGTTAAATAGATTCACTTTGTTGTATGTATCTAATTGATAGATTTTCGCAGTTGTTAAGATGTGAAGTCGTGTTGCACTTTGTAAATACTTGAGATATCAAGTATTTACTGCTGGAAGCAACTTCAACTACCTGTCTAATGGTTGATTTCCACACTGCCGCGTAAATTTTACGTGCGTAAAATTTACTTTCGCAAATAAAATAGAGGCAATGCATGAAAGGTTACACGTAAAAATAAAAGTAGAAACTCGCTCAACTTCACGTTTAAACTAAACACTTTATATCGTGCCTCTATTTTATTTACATGATTATAATTTACGTAGTGGAAATCCACCCTAACGTTACGTATGTGTCACGGATGTGTTTATACAGGTAGCTTTGTACCTGACTATTACGCACTCTACTTGCAGCCCCGCTTGCAGCACATAGAAATCCTCTATCGAGCTTTTCCGGAACGCATCGGTCCACGAATTCTACCGTTTGAAAGCGTCGATTACTTTGGAACAAGTGATTACTTCAGTGTTTGAAAAAAAGAATAATCTTAATGAGTAAAACTTCGAGGTTTACTGGAAAATCAGGACCGAGGATACAGGATCGGTGATGGAGAATTGGACATCGAGGATTGGTTAAGAAAAAAAACTTGAAAATAAAATAAAATAAATAAATCGTGGTGATGTATGCCACAAACTGTAGACAAATCTCACAGCACCTAACCCGGTTCGCTCTACTGAACACTAAATTTAAGTAAACTACTCCGAGTTTGACTGAGTCATAGTGATTGTTTTGCCAAGAAAATCGAGAATTATGAAACCCTTTATCCCAGTGATACTGTAATAAAATGCATGCTATTCACGGCTCTAAACATTGTACTCTGAGAGTGTACGGAGATATTAAAAGCAGATGCTTAGCAGCTATGGAAAATGTAATTACTTTCACGCGATTTTGATGTCTTATTAAACGAGCAACAAATTAAGCAGGAATACGCACAAACTGAATTAACTGTCTGTTGTGTGTGAGGTTCTACTAAACTTGCACATTTTTCCTGCGCTGAACATATACTGAACCGAGCCGTATCTTGGTCCACTACAAAGAAGCTATATATATTTATACTGACAGATTCATGGGCTCCTGATACTAATGAAAATCATCGTTCTATTTTTGAGTGTAAAATCCCTGAAAGAGTTCTCACTGAAGTAATATCAATACAATGTATGTAGAAGATTTTCAAAGATTTCACACCGGTTTGAAGCTAAGATGAGCGGCCTGTCTCTTCTTGCAATTTTTGCGTTTTGAGTATTTACATTATGACAAACGAAAAAGTAGTGTAACAGCACGGGCGCCTTTGACAACAAAACTTATCTTGAAGCAAGTGAGACTCAACGCTACTATGAGCGTTCTTGTTGTACTGTTTGAAAAGATGTAAGCTTTTATGCTGTACCATAACACCTTAGTTTTCCAAGAGTATGGTATCCTTGGTGGTAGCTGTCGCCAATTCCTGATGCATCACCATGCACGAGCTGCTTTACTGGAAGATGTGTCTTGTCAGTGAGGAGACCGCTGTCCTCACGCCAAACTGGGTCATTCTTATCACAGTTACAGCCATACTGGGAGTCTGCACATGAGTTGTTCATCCCGCATGCGCACTTACTACTGCCAGGTGATGCTCCACCCCAGTGCGTCATCTTAGTAGAATCACGTGACACCCACCAAGCATAACCGCCTCTGAATATCATTGAACTATGACACTCGTACTTGATAAACTGCTCGCAATGTGAGGAGGCGCTGATGAGACTCGCCAACTGAGACAGACTCGCTCCTGTGTAGTGAATGTTACGTGTGTAGCTTCCTTGCTTTCCATAACCGCGGCCGTCACGAACCCTTGTTCTGCTCTCACTGTCGTGACTGATAACAGTAACACCAACACCATTCTTGTCAGTCATGTTACAGTACACCGTAAATGATGCCAGACCACCCACGCCATCTGGATCAATGACGTAATTTCCGCTTTCTGCTGCAGGGGAGAATTTCTTTACAGAACTGCATGAAATTCCACCTGGAAGGAAAACGGTATTCGGTAATCGTTAGTTATATATAAATCACCTGTTTTACACATATTTCCGCTAAAAGTATGAATGTTCCCTTTTCCTTTACTGGGTAGAATTCAGAAAATAATGGGCATCTTTTAAAACGCTGTAGTCCAGGGATTATATAGAAATTACGTTTAAATGCGAAATAAAATATACCGTATGCAAACTTATAGAGACAAACAGAGTTTAATTTTTACACGTTTCATTTATGAACCTCAAACGGCTTAAACTGCACTACGAGTTATAAACTACAGTCAATCACATTACAATCTGTAAACGGTTATAAATTTAAGATTTGCACATTTTTAAAAAAATACTAACTTGTTCTACTTAGTATGGATAAGCCTCTACACGCCACTATGAGGGCCCTTTTTACGCAAATCCAATTTAGTACCTTATGTCGGGCATTCAATTTCGCCCAAAGTTACTTTGCGATCAGATTTAGTCAGTTTACCTCTGAGGGGGCTACGCTTCACATAAGGGCTTCGAAAACTATTCAATTTCAACAACGTTCTTTGACAATCCCTTTGCCACAAGTTTCAGCTTAGTGGTAACTCGCGTGACCTTGTTATCTCCGCTTCTTCCGTCTCCTTACGAATTATTAACTCCATTTCCTTTGCTTTAGCCGCGTTGGATTCTTACAAATAGCTGTCTCTTTTCACCTGCATCCTCACTAAATGTTCGATTCAGCTCCTCAATCCATTGCTCATCGAGTTCATCCCCACGAAGTAATTCCACGTCCACGTGGAGTTTGTCTTGAACATCTTTCTGTACGGCTTTCAACATATCGTATCTGCTTTCGATGGTTGTTACTAGAACGTCGGCAGTCATAGCTTGCTCTAGATTGCTAATCGCTCGAGTAAATTTTCTCTTTGCAGTTGCACGAAGCTTCTTCGCTGCTCATTGTTCGCTCATATCAACTTGGTAATCCTCGCTCTTAATCTCCGTTGACGGTTGGTCGGGAGATTTCATTAGAAATTCAAATGTCTAGAGCCAGTTTTTAATTCACAGTCCTTGGTATCAAGTTCGAATTACCTAAACAAAACTACAGGAAAACATGCTACATGCACAAAAGGTCATGATGAAAGAACCGAACGAACTGTTAAACAAGAGACGTGCAAGAAGCAACATCTCATAGTACTTACAGTACGGATAATATTTTGAAACTCTTCTCTCGAATTTCTAGTGTTCATATTTGCAATACACGTGCCTCAACGTCTGAAGAGTTTTATACTAAAAAATCTCGACTCAATGTCAAACGAAATTCTTTTTCGCGTGTTGGGGTCAAAATTTAGAATGGGATACCTCAAATTCATAAAAAAAGACCGAAAAAGACTTTTAAAAGATCACTAAAGGCAATGCTCCTCGATATCCTTCAAGCTGAAGACTCCTATATTGATGTGGATACGATTATTGTAAAAATGAAAAAGTAATTCTCTTGTCCTTTATTTTCATTTTATTTTATTTTTAAAATTTTCACTTTAAAAAGTATTTATTTACCGTAAAATATATATACTTATTTAACGTCTAATTTCTTTGTAGGCCTGCCTCGAATAGCCTCGCTAACTGCAGTCCAGTCCCAATGTATCTTTTGTTGTACTTCCAAATTTGAATAAAGTTGGAAGTTGAAGTTAAAGTTGACTTACTATTTGCCCTCAAGTAAATAACTAGCACAAAAAGCCGTAGCTATAAACTTAATCCTTGAAAACCTAAAATAGCATTCAAATTTACGTGCTTCTGTAATTAGCGAACTATCAAGCAAACATGGCGAAAAACAACAAGGTCCTAGTCACGTGACTTGTAGCTTAATTCAGTTTCAGTCCATCCCTAGCGCAAACCTAGTATTTTTCTACAAATGTCTCTTTGGCTCTACTGACATTAATGTTCTTGAACATACATCGTTTATTTCTCACGGCCGTACCAGACAAAGTAAGCTTAATTCTTTCAATCTTAAAACTCCTCTTTGCAGAACCACTACTTTTAAGGCTTCCTATTTTAATCGTATTACAAAGTTATGGAATTTTGTTTGTTCACTTAAGTCCCCTATTATTTTCTCTAGTACGCCTCCTTTTAAGCAGTTTGTTTATAAAACTATGTTCACCACTCTGGTTAATACTAATGAGGTGTAAAGATCTTGCACGTGGATATTAGTGATGACCCGTCCCTGTCACAGGTCGAAGTGACTGTGCCTACAACACACCCACTTTCCTGTCCTTTCTTTTTATTATTATTATTATTATTATTATTATTATTATTATTATTTGTTAACGTACATCTAGGGTTTGAATTAATTTTTTTTTCAAGGATAAATGAGCTATTTAACAGCATTGAAATTTAAATTGTAATTGTAAGTAACAACAGGGCGGTGCCTTGCCTGTGTCTTGGGTCCCGTTTGCACTTGCCCTTTTGGGGAACAGTAATTGTTCTTAATTATTCTTGTAACTATAATTTATTTCTTTTATTTCTTTAATTACATGTCTTCTTGTAAATTCTATCATGATTGCATTCTTGCCCCAATAAAGTGTCAAAAAACCGTGCCGTTGGCTCATTTTAGAACGGAACACATCGAAATGTTCGGGGATGTTTCCCTTCAGTGTATCTTGCACAAGAAAACATCGATGACCGAGACGCCTCGCGTGCAATTAATAGGTCCCGGAGCAACAATGTCAGGGCCTCAGCTGATGTCACTTTTGCCTTTGCAATATTCTTTGGGATGCGATTTTGGAAAGACTGCAACTTCATCTGGGTTGTAAGACCTATCTGATCTTCCCAGGCAACATCTGCATAATTCAGGTGTCTTAGGACAAGGCCATTAAAGTTTTCTATTACACTTCTCTTATATCTTATAGATCGAACATCATTTATTTGCCCTTCATCAGTAAAAAAACTGTAAGTTATTAAATTGCAACAACATAGTTTTGCTTCCTGACAGCGTCAATTCAGTCTTCTCTACATTAAGTTGTTAATTTATTGCCGAAACACCAGTCGGAGATTAGGTTGAAGTCATGTCGAAGGGCATCATTAAGTTCTTGAGATGTCGATGTAGCAACCACAGGAACAGTTTCATCTACATAAAATATCAATTCACTCTTCGCTACGGCAGTTGACAAGATGCCAATGTACACGTTGAATAGAAGTGGACTTAGGATACTCCCTTGTGGCACTACACCCAGGTCGACAGGGTCAGTCTCCGATACTTCGCCATTTATATACACGCACTGCCGCCCTGTCTTGTTTTAAGAGATTTAAACCATCTCAGACTTCGCACTGATAGTCCTATGTGTTCAAGCTTTCTTAGGAGTATCTTATACGGTTTATAGAGTCGAAGGCCTTAGAGACATCGAGAAATATAGCATACCACTGACTTTTTCACTGTCCATGGCATCAAGCATAGGATTATTCAAATGGCCCACCCCTTGTACCGTACTACGACCACGCCTAAAACCTTTCTGATATTTGTATAACAAGCCTAAGTGATAATAATTTTTCGTTATTCGGCGTTTCTATTTTCTTTCGCTTTGTCAGACATTGATGTGTGACTTACTCATGAATATAATCATAAACAACGGTTAGTCGGTTTTTGCTAAAATAGTTTAGAGAGTAAGTGGCACCCGATACGATACAAGGCGACTACAAAAAATTCCATAAAGTTCCTGAGAATTAATGTTATTTTTCAAAGTAGCCTGCCCTTTACCTGTCTCGCAGTTTTCTCCTGTGATTCCAGAAGTGCAAACGCAGAGGTATTTTTTGCTAGTATATCCTCTAAGGCACGTCCCGTTATTGAGGCAAGGTTTGACGGCGCAGGGGTTCTAAGGAAAATATAAAACTCATTCAATTCAGATTTGACCTCCTAAGGTCTACCCATTTGTTCGCAATTCCATTACACAGAGCAAACACATTTAAATATCTTCATGTAAGTCAATATCTTCTTCCTCCGTCTCCCCTTTATCATCATCATCATTATCATCAACAACTTCACCATTATCATTCATATGAAAGACTACTTGTGATTCCTACCTCTGTGATACCACTGTAGGTCCAGCCTTGTCTTGTTTTAAGATCTTGTGGGTGCTGTATGTGATCCGAATCACTAAGCTCACATACAACTTTGTCGTTCACGGGCGGACCAATGTTTACAGACACGCATCTACTCTCCATAACGCATTTGTGATGACACGGCATGTTCACCCCAATTGTGAGATTAAAAAACACGTGATCCCTCAAATAATAACCACTCTCTTGTGGAAGGAAACTGAGACGTCGACAACCGTCTAGCAAATAATTATAACAGTGTGAGAATGTCAGTAGTACAGGTACTATGTTTGAGGCCTTTGGTGTGTGTGTGTGGGGGGGGGGGGGGGGACGAAGGATTTTAATTTTTATATAGTCATCCTTATAGTGACAGAAGTTAATTAACTTCTAGCTCACTGCATGCATGATAGCATAATATAATAAGTGTTTCAGTAGTTTCGACTTATGAACACTTTTGCGTCATATAACTAATATTATTATTCATTTAAAATATTTTCCCGATTCTGATTGGCTAAGAGCGCACGATAAATTCACCATAACCAGTTATTGAAGAATTGCTTAACGAGGAAATGAGGTTAAAAATGCAGCGTTTTCGCAGGTTAAGGCACCGTTAACCGAGAAGACCTGGGGACGAGGTTGAGTTGTTTTGTTTGTGAACTTGAAAAAATGGCGGACATTTCACTTGTTTCAAGAGTAAGAACTGGGAGAAAAAATAGCTAAAAACATGGCAAGAACAGCAAGAAGACAACTCGAAGGGCGACATCTGCTATTTGGAGAATCTTTGGGGAGTTGGACAAACCTAAACGTGGACTATCGACGATGAACTTAACATCGATGGATAGATGGAGGTAAGCATGTTTTAGCCATGTTTTTAAACTAAGAATTATTTTGAATGAATATTAAAACAATTATTGAATTCGGCTTTCGTATCATATGAAAAATTATGGAGATCTCGGAGGGTGTTATCCGCCTCGGCCTACGGCCTCGACGGATAACACCCTCTTCGATCTCCATAATTCTTCATAAGATATTCAGTCTCATTCATTAATTGTTAAATAATTAAACCAAAACAAAGCCGTTCCAAACTCGAAATATTCAGCAAAGCCAGGCGCAGAAGAACGGCTGATCCGTTCCAATGAAATTAACTCGAGCTCAGATTCAGCTGTTCTCAATTGATGATTCAAAGTATTAAGTTCGGTTTCAGGTTGTTCTTGATTCGCTTGAATTATTTAGAGGGATTTACTTCACCATCATGTAGAAACATGAACAAGGATATTTTGAAACATTATTAGATAACTCAACCCTAACTTTAAAGTGCTTTGCGTAACTTTTTGCATTCTCTTTTGAATGCGGTGAGGGCAGAATGGATTACGTAATCACCGCCCTCTACTTTATAAGATCCCTTACAACTATTCATTACCTTGAAATGCAGCTCCGATGTAGTTTAGCCAAGCTCCCAAAAAAGCACTCATTAGCAAGTACCTTAACAAGTATAAACGACAGCCGGCCATAAATGTTTACGGCGCTTGCTATACTGCCCTTATCAGAGTAGGTCTTGAAAGCAGGATCTGAATGAGGCAGGTGTGTGCTTTTTATGTTTGCTACTTTTGTTTTGCTTTTATGTATCTCTTTTGCTTTGTTTTGCTTTTATTATGTTTAAAACTAATAAAATATTCATTGCTAAAATATATAAGTAACCTGGTTAGCCGCCGTTTTTACTGCGGTATTCATTGATATATTCTAGTCGTAGTTTGACCTCTAACTATCTCATCCTCACTTCAGAATCAAGCAGACCAAAACCTAACTCTTAAAGGAGAGTCCAGGGCCGTAGCTACCTGTACACACGGTACCTAGAGAAAACGCAAGAAAATAACTCGCAAATTGAAAGAAATGGAATAAGCGTGAACGTGTTGTTTTCACTTTCCGGCCTTTCTTCCCAATAGGCAAAGTAGCGTAAGATTCCGTGAACGTGGGGTGCTTTTGTCGGTGAAAACATTGTGGCAAACAGCGGTTTAAAATATCACCTATTGGCTACAAATAAAAATCTGAGATACTACTGGTTTGTTGCCTTGATTATTGATAAGCGATTTGTGTGCTTCAGTCAATGAACCTACAAAGGCGACAAAGAGTTTTACAATTTACTTACGTAATTTCATAGCAGGTAAACAGGCTCAGGCATACAACTTAACCTCACCTTTTATCAAGGCACCTGAAAAAGATTTGGGACTTTTATGCGTACCTCGGAAAAAAAGAAGAGTCAGAGAAAATTTCTCTGTAATTTGAAACCCACCTCAAGAAAATTAAGACATGGGTCTTCTATTTAATTCCTCAAAAACATGGAGTGGTCTAACTTTTTAAGCTTTCAATATAACGCAAAATTACTAAGGACAGACTTGCTGCGTATTAATAACTTCGAATGACGATTGGAGTCATTGATTGTCACGTGACCTATTAAGGCTATTTTTAGCTCAAAATTCGATGTGGCAAAATGGCACCACTTTTCTTTACTTTGTGAAAGTTGCAGTTATCTCACAGTGCTAGGGCTAGTGGGTACATCATTTCTGTGGCCGGGCTTTTAAGTTAATCTTTCAGAAAGGGAAAAATTCGAAAACCGTTTGATAAGGGGACTTGGCACTAGAACAAGATGTTGTTTATTTACAATTTCATTTCAACACAGCCCAGGCACAGATATTTTGTCGTTAATCTAGTAACATGTTTTGATTGACTGCTACTAGAAACTAGCGTCATTTCGCACAAAATTGCCTTTAAAGTTCACGTGACCTAAGTTAAATAATTATTCCATTGCCTGTTATTTTTGAGATTCATTATGCTGCGGAAGTTTCGCTGTTTTGGCCTTAATCTTCAGAATATAGACCACCCACTTTTTAAAGGAAATTGAAAAAAAGATCCATGCCTTTAAATTTCCTTGAGACCCTCAAAAGTAATAATTTTTGCTTCAAATGAAACAGAGAAGTAGAAAAACAGAGTCAAAACGGCTTATCTCTAACTTACTATAATGTGCCGATAAAAATTTGAAGGCTCTTGAAAGTACTGTGAATCTCGAGTTATCGATAGTTTGCGAGTGGCTAACTGTAAATAAACTCTCAATCTGTATCTTTCATCCCTACCAAAAACGATTAAATCATAAAGAAAGTGTTAAGATTTATGTTAATCATACAAATAAAAAGTAGACTTTAGAACGCAAAGATTATATCAATTGACTAACTAATTGACAGTCATCTCAACTGGAAGTCTCATGTCAGTCGCGTTGCTTCAACACTTCAGCATGTCTACAGGTCCCTTGTATATCCTTATCTGTCGTATGGTCTTGTCGCCTGGGGCCTAGCTGCTCGATCCCATTTAGAAAGAAGTTTTAGTGCTCCAAAAAAGGGTGGTTAGTTTAATGAAGTTTACCCGGTACCGAACTCACGGTATTCCATACTTTATTTCCTTAAATACAATGCCAGTTATCTATGCTATACTTCAAGGTCTTAATGCTTGATGCCTCAAATAATTCCGCACTCTCTATCATCTCTGATATGTTCACCCCCACAAGTCAAGTTCAACATTACAACACCCGATCCTCTACAGCTGGTAATTTTTACCGGAAATACTCTCGACTAAACCATCCAAAAAACTCTTTTGCTAGCGTCGGGGCTAAATTTTGGAATAGTATCTCTGAGAATCTTAAAGAAAATGTAATTCCAAAACACGCTTTCTAGAAAAAAATACACAATTTATTATTTCTCAATCTTCAAAGCCAGGCCCTACTAGGCTATGCTGATATAAACATCCTCATTAATGAAATTTAAAAAAGGATCAGTTTACTTATTTATTTTTCTTCATATGTTTGTAAAATCTTTCATTTTGTTGTATAATCTGTATAGTGTTCATATCTCAGTGGCGAAAAGCGAAAATGTCATTGTATGTAAAATGTAACGTCCCCGCACTGCCTGCCTCGAATAGCTTTTTCTAATTTCAAGCAGTGCGAATGTGTAAATGTATTTCTTTAAGGCCTAATAAAGTTGTTGTTGTTTTGCAATAGCTGTTTCTGTCCCGAAATATCATGGCCAACAACAAATCAGCCCTTTGCCGTAATGCCAGTTTTGCATTCAGCTTTGTTTCATTTTTTTACACATCAATTGACGTCTGGCTACAGCATCTCTTTAATCAGAGATCCGGCAAGAAGACCCAGTCAGTTATATTTGCGTGTTGAGTAGACCTCTGCATTCAACCAGTTTTTCGTTTTTGTTTATGTACATTTTAACCTTTTTATCGATTGTAACATAAATTCCTATACAAATCCTTATAATTTGGCTTTCAGTAGGCTATTGTGATTCTGGGCTCCATGTGGCAGCGTTATTTTGAAAACATAGCTCATATGTCAGTGGTCTGGGCGTATGTGTCTTTGTCACTTTGTGACTTTGTCTGTGCGGATGTGTGTTGCAGGGGCCAATAAGGTTGAAGGCACTATCAGTTGACGCATAGGAACCACTGAGATTTTGGCATCTAAACATGACATTGCTAAAGGTCAAACAAGGGCACTTTGAGACCTCCATCTTGATTCTTCACAATTTTTTCGTCTTTTATTACGGCTACAGGGGTTTAGAAGCATTACATTTAAATTTCTTCATGATTAAAACGTTGTGTACAGTGATGCAGCTGTTTAAGGGTTCATATTATTTTTAATGTGGGTGCTGCTTCAAGACATTTCTGACCTAATTCGGCTATCGCGAACGGTACATCGCACGTATTTCATAATTTATAAGTTCTGTTTCAGCTGCTACAAGAGTATAAAAGATCATATATTTTTCAAAGTTCCTCTAATGAAACAATAACTGATACTAGATATGGACTTTAATTCGGAAGTATGCGGCCTATAAATTGTGGTTTTAGAAGTTTGAAATTCAGCTCAATTTTTTGAAAGCTGTACCGAGTAAGTTAATCCTGAAAACAAGCTTTATTATCTCGCTTACAAAGTTCAACAGACCTTTTTCGTTCCGGCAAAAAAAAAAAACAAAAATACATGAATTAAGTGAACAACATGATACATGCTTGCTTTTATAGAGCTGTTATAGTTATCGAAACGTATTTTATTTAGTAAAGCTTAGTAAAGATGCGTAACTTGAGTAGAAACAATAGCGTACGGATTAAAATTGGAAGAAGCTAGTTGACAAAATATTCAGATATCGTCTTATTGCACGGAATAACATGATATGAGTAGAATATATTTCGGCAGTTTGATAATTTTCATGGAAATAAATAAATACATATGCGTAAGTGCTTTGAAAACGTTGCTGTTCATGCACAGTACTTATTCCTAAAACAGAGCAACTCTCATTATGTATACCCGCCACTTTGAGTCACGTGGTTGCATTCCATGTTTGCTTGAAGATGCACCAGCTGAACGCTCAAAGACGCTTCAAGTTCAAGTGCCCATAACCTAAATTTTTGTCTGTGCGTTGCAGTTAGATGCAACAACACTAGCGACCCTAAGCAAGGGATACGAATGCATGCAAAAAATCAAATTTTTAGTTCCTGAATTTATGTCTCACGACGTTTCATACGAGCTTGTCAATTTCGTGATCAGCGGAACGGATGTCCAAAAGAATTTTAGACCTAAAAAATTTATAACAACAAAGCTCAATTTGTTTGAAACGCAATTTCTTTTTCCAAAGAAGTTCTAGTAATAATGTCTCTTCCAGTGAACATTATTATTATTGTTATTAAGTTATAGGCTCTCCAGTGCAAATCAATGTGAGTGCCAGGTACCTTTTTTTAGGTTGATCAATCTCCAAACCAATACCTAGGAGGTTCCCAAAACTTTTCCCACCAAAACGAAGTCCACTAAATGCCCAGCAAGAGAAAAAAATGAGGCAAGAAAAGCGAAAAAAGAGGGAAGGAGAGAAAGCGACAAGTAAAAGTCAAGACTGCTGTGTCACTTTTAAACCCAAAATTATCTCGAAATTTTGCTTTCTGCGCATGCCCGAACTTTGCAAGTTAATATTTTCCATCTGGATTAGAAGGCCGCGAAGAACAACCTTGTGGTAAGTTTTATCTCTTTATAGCACGATAGTGACCAGAAAACCGCTCTACTAGCTTCAAAATGTGTTTTTCGGCAAAATCTCCAGTGGTGAATGAGTTAAAGGGAGGGAGTCAAAATTAAAGCAGGTGGTAGGAAGAAACAAGGAGAATTATATTTTGAGATCGACCTAATGGTCCCTAATGAAAATGCATGTGTATAACTCAATGATCAGGGGCACCCAACGACTTTTTAACTAATCATTGTTTATTTTAATGCCCTAGAAATTTCTAGAAGTCGCGAAAGGCTAAATAACTTTCTGGATATAACCGCTCCATTCGTCTGCTAAAGATATTCTAAGTTTTTTTACTTACCAGTTACATACTAGGTTCGGAACTTGTGATTTTCACATAAGGAGCGCGATTATTGTTAAAAAAAGTTCTCTTGAAAATTTTGGTTTAAAGACAAAACGTTCCCTAGAATGTTCTAATGAAAGTACGGCAACTACAAACGTTCAAGTGCATGTGGATGATTCTGTTAGTAATTTATCCTCACTTCATGTCTATTACCACATCACGGTAAACTAAGTTATGGGAGGAGACCGCTCCAACCCTTGACAACACGCTACAGCTACCCGACTGACCCCAAAAAACACCCCGAAGCATACAAAACCACACAACAAAAGCTGCAGAACACAATTTTAATCCAACCTCTCCCATTACTCACAAATCCCCTTCAACCCTGATAGGAGGACTAGGGGTAACAATAACAGGTGAAAGTGAAATCGTTCAATTGGTACAAACGGGTCGCAGATTGTCGGGGTGAGACACAGGCACTGTGACCAAACAAGTAGCACTAGGAAGGACGTCCTCGAAGATCGTGAGGGACGCCGCCCCATCAGACGAACGGGAGTAATGTTGAGCCAACTCCCCACTCTTCCAAACTATATACTGTGCAACCTGCTGTTGAGAACAACCTAGCAATCTCAAAGTAGCAGACAAACCCACCCAGAAACTATGAGGGGTTTTACCTTCATGAAGCTTAGCTTCGGTGAGATACCCCCGAAGACGGTTAAATTATTAACAGCCGAGCCGACGAAAGGCCTGAGACTAATATCTCTACTGCGGTCAGAAGCCCGAAAGAAAAAAACCCGAAGCTAAGCGGACCTTAAGTAAATCACACACAGAGAGATAATAAGTTACCCAATTAACCGGGCACACGTCTGTTTTGCAAAAGGGAACCAAGGCGAAAAAACGAGGGGGGTCTTTACGCAAAGTTTTAGAAAAGGTAAAACGCAACAAGTAACCCTCACGATCTTTTAATTTAAAAACCTGGCTGGCTAATGGGCGACCCAAATCCGATTCCCTGTCGCCTGTAAAGAAATCTATTACAAAAAAGGTAGCATCCCTAACCAAAATATACTGACTAATTCTAGACAATGATTGACTATCAACAATTTTTCCCCGTAAATGGGCAATTAAATTCTGGAACTTAACAAAGAACAATGGCACAGCTTGCGAAGGAGAAATAGCCATACCCGCCTGTTCGACGCGAACAAAGTTCAAGTATTCCTTGATACGAGAATGCGCGATAGGATTAGTGTGGTCGATGCGACCAAGGTTATTCAAGATGGACCTGAGCTTTCCAAGCAGGGAGTCAACGGTGCCAGCGGCTAAACGGCGGGGGCAGGCGCAAGCTTCTCTGGAACATTTGGGGACATGAACCACTGTTCGCCCCGACGAATCTTTATAAATGAGAAACTTAATAACGTCGTCTACCGTACAAGATGAAATTGTTTTAGGCAGGGAAACTGATGCGAGAAACGTAGATAACTGCTGCTCAAGGGCTGACTTTTGACGTTGATAGGGCCGACGCTCAAACGAAAACTTAAACTCTTGAAAACGCTCTTGAATAACCTTCTCATCCACAGGACCTCTGCCACAGGGAACAGCTGGCACCAAGGGCACAGTGGGAACCCCACATGCTTGACAGAAATGGGCATCTGCGTCATTCGGATACAAACACGAACCACAAAGACGGGCTGGTTTCCAAGGTCGCGGAATCTAGCAGAAGACCACAAACGGGAAAAAAATTAGAAAATACAGCGATAAGCCCACAAGTCCCACTGAAGAAATCGCGCCGACCAGACATACGTGGAGCGAGAGGCGAAAAGCAACACAGCATCGTCGCGCTTCCTGCCAAGCAAAAGGCGATCAACTGCGACAGACTGAAGGACAGCCCCCCAAAAACGCCTGGGACGCAAATCTGGGACCACCAGAGTAAGGGCTCCGTGGAATCCCTGATCCAAAAAATACCTCAATAACGGACCGAGTAAAACGAAAGGCGGAAAAGCGTAAATGTTATGCTCCAGTGGGATGGGCTGCGCAAAGGCGTTAACCTCCTCAGAGGCCGGAGTAGGCCAAGGAGAATAATGAGGAAGCATTAGACCAGAACGATCCCTTCGACAGTTACTGTCTAACGCCATAAGATCGAAGGAGTGAGGACCGAATCTGCACTCCACTGAATTCCAGGCCTGTTCTGACAACATACAGTCAAGGTCCGAACACGCTCGAGAAGGTGCGTCTGCCATATTGTCGCGGGAAGGAACATAGTGGACATCAATAGCCAAGTTTAACTGACGGCTACACTCCAAGATTTCCTTGACAGAATCGTTAACAGATGAATTCTTGCAGCCAAAGTTGTCCAAGGCGGCCTTGAGGGTTCGATTATCAGTATGAATATCAACCCTAGAATTACGTACATGGTCTCGGGAGTGAGCGTACCAAAGCCTTAGCCTCGAGAGAGTTGATATCATCCGAAGCATCCATCCAATAGTCTCTGGACTCGATCCTTCTCCCGTCCTTAAAAAGGACTCCACCCCCAGGAGCGTTTAGAGGCATCACAGAACAAGGAGACTATACAATGTTGCTCCGACCTCCAAGGCAAGCAATCTGACCAATCGTCTAAAAAGCGCCAGTACGCGACATCAAAGCGGAGTCTTCCTTGGACTTAAGAAGCAGCCTTAGAAGAAAGCGTAAGCTGGGCTATTGCGTTAAAGACTTCGCGGACGTAAAGCTTGCAACCAGGGATGGCTAAACTAAAAGAAAAGACCTTGCCAGCGAAACGTTGCAGCGTTTTAAGACTGACACAGGAGGATGACAAAATACTTTCCCGCAAGGTCGCGAACTTGCTCTTCTTATCCTAGGGAATAAAAACGCCTGGCGCATAGAATCGCACAAAAAAACACAAAAAAACAGACCACCGTAGATGGAACGTACTGCGACTTGTCAGTATTAACGAAATAGCCAGCTTTAATTAGAATGTAACACACAATGTAAGCTGCAGCTTCAGCTCTCTGAGTGCTTGGAAGAATGACGGAACGCATCGGAGAGGCAAAAAGCTGTCCCACATGACGGTCGTCAATATACTGTGACAGGGGAACCCCAAGGGAGCGAGCGGCATGCGAGACGACTAGACCTAAGTTATGATAAATAAAGGCGCTGGCCTTCCAACCAACGGCGAGCGTACGGAACACAAAAAAGAAATTATCCCACTCGAGCCCAAAGTACGTCTCAGACGGATGCAGGGAAAAGACATAACCATAAGGTATGATAATGATCTAACATTCCTGTCTCCCTTGTTGATCTCATTTACCTTCCCTTCTCTCAAGGTTTTTTTTTGCATGCTTCTTTACTGCCGGAAAACACATAACCCCCAAAGTCGTACAACACGAAGCTACATGTCCTCACATACAAAGCGAAACAATTAGAAGAGGGATGCGTGAAATAGATATATAAACAAATAATGACCACTAATATAATTTCCTCGCCTAAAAGCGGTATCTCATTATGACTTAACAGAAACTTCAATTATGCAAAGGTAATATACACACATCCGCTACCAGTACTCTTCGATAAGAAGCGGTACCTCCAAACAAAAAACGATAAACAGGCTTCGCCTTAAAGCGGTATCCCTTCGCTCGAAGAGCGGAAACTCCCAATATGCCCAAAAATAAATTATGTACAATCAAAAACACAACTTCGTCGTTATAAGCGGAATCTCCTCGCGTAGAAATATCGACCAACGTTCCTAGCAATATAAAGCCGTATCTCCTCGTTTGTGAAGGGAAAAAGTCCCCAATCACAAAAATATACACACATCTTACCACCACATTTCTCGCTATAGAAAAGCGATATCTCCTCGCTCACAAAGCGGAAACCTAAAGCACTCACTTCCTTTTCCTTCCCAAACTTAATAGATATAACATGTTTATAATTTGTTTGTTTAACGAGTGAGCACAGTTAAGACAGGTAAAGGTTCTATAATTTATGCGCTAAGGTGTAAACTTCTTGCAATAAAGCGTGAAAAAATCTGCATTGATGAACTAACACCTTAGGAAGCCGCTGAAAGCGGTAACTAACGAAACAATAAAAGGAAAACTTCTTACGCTACAAATTAAACAGCAAACTCTTGCCGCGAAGCGAAAACCCTAAGCACACGTGAAAGCGTGACATACGACTAATCTCCCTCGCCATAGGGCGGAAAAACCTCGCTTACAAAGCGGCAAAAACGCTAGCATATGGAAAAAAACACCCGAGTAAACACGTGGCAACCAGCAAGCAAAACGGAGGACTACATTCGGAAGTATAGAAAAATACCTAACAGAAAAATACGTAAACGCGTGGCAAAGAAACGAGAGGCTCGCAGGGCTCGCTGACCGAAACAAAAGAAAAGCAAAAAATACCTCAGGATCAACCACTGGTGGCGGAGCAGCTTCAACAGCGCCAGCTGACTCTTCAACAGCCTCGTCAGGAACAGGAGCAGGCGGAACAGAAAGGGCAGCCATGACATGAAAGGCTGGTGCCGGTCGACGGTAGATTGTGGCGACAGAAGCTTCCTTCACCGGAACGCGGGCAAAATGACAACGATCGAGGCAAAAAAAGAGAATTTAAGCAAAGAGACCGCAAAGCATCATACCTGCCCCGAAGACGCAGAGCACGGCGGAATCGGAAGGATATAGCTCAAATTCCGTGATGCGCTAATTATGTATGCAGTGAGAATAGTTTTTTGTCTTTGCTTACTTCCTTTCTTTAATCCGATTTAGGCAACAAATAGCTAGAGCAGACTGAAAAAAGTGTGTCCCGTGTGTATCTCTGATATTCTTGCGTGGCCGCCATCGGTTTCGTTGAGATTACCGCATGCTGTTAACAGTTTTAACGTTTTTGAATTAATTTTTAATGTAATTTTTTTTTATTGGTATTTTTTTTTCAGTGAAATCGCGATTGTGGGTGTGTTTTCGTGGCTCGGGCTGCTAATTTGCGCGTTGGCCAAACGAAACTACCAGCTATACACAGGCTGTGATAGTTCATTAGCGATACTCACGCTTACGCTGATGTGACCTATTTAAGTGCCAACCAAAAAGCGCATTGGGTCTTGTAACAAAAAAACAACGTTTGTAAACATTCAGTTGGTGTCCGATGTAAGTTCGCAACTCTGGGATTGGGTCAAATAGAAATCGGTAAAAGTACAATTGCCAAAAAAAATCATCGTGTTATTGCAAATTGGTGGTAAAATCGTGGTACTATTACGCTCTGGTTACTCCAAAAAAAGCTTCTAAAATTTGTTGAGATCGTACCATTGATTATCCAAGTCAAATTTACAAGGATTTGTATGGAGTCATCAGTACGCAACGTTACATGCCTGGGTATGGGAATACACTGTAAATACATTCTAATCTTAAAGACAAGGGTGCACCTTCGAACCTTCAATAACAGACATCTCCCATCAAAGCTGATACTCCGTCATCCGTGATTGTCCATGCCATATACAGACCATGCAAGTCTGGTCGACACAGAGGCCGATCCCCTCATTGCAGGTTTTGCTAGTGTATCACACAAACCTTAACGGCTGTGATTAAGGTGTAGTTTTCTGTAATTTAGCAACGAAATTCGTGCAATCGTATGTATATGTTGTGATTCAATTTCATTCCTGGTTTAAGTTTTATTTCCCTTTCTTTTGGGATATAGTAATGCACGGTAATGAGTTTGGAACCAAGGTGAAGTACAGTTTAAACCAGGGATAATATTGAGCAACAACAAATACATTATGATCGGGGCCAAGTCGCCCAAAACCATACCGGTCCTGGATAACAATACAGTTATAAAAGCATTGTATCCACTTCAGATTTATATTAACCGAACGAAGTCAGTATAACTTTGCTCTCACGCTCAGGCGTTGTTCAGGCCGCGAAGCACTTGCTGTCAGCACGAAAAAAATTGATTTACACTAAATTTATTTAGTGCAAATGTGGTGCAAAAAAGTGCAAACTAAGGACAAATAAACGGTAAAGATGGCAAATGGGGCATTTTCTCACGCCCCATGTTAAAATAGACCGGTATGCAAATGCGGTATTTACCCGTCTTTGCCTTTGATTTCCTCTTCGTTTGCACCATATTATTTGTCCTGAGAAATTTGTGAAAATTTAATTTTTCGTGCATGGTACCTGTTTCCCCCATGTACTTTCCGCTTCCAGCATGAAGAAATTCGCGAAAATATCCTGACAAGACAAGTTTTGACGAGCGACGTTTATTCAGCGTCAGCGTCCTAACGGTTTTAACTACAAAGTTACACTGCACAATGGATAATAACTATAGCGCGATCTACAGCTAAGTGGATATGAACGAAGAATGGTCCGTATTGGGAAAAAAGATATGAACAATCATTGACCCTGAGCTGCAGATGCTTGTATTTACATACACTCCAATAAAAAAACAATAAATTATGACATTAACCGATAAGTTTGTCTGTATGATACCCAAGTGATTATGCTGTGCCATAACACTTGAATTTTCCAAGAGTGTGGTAGCCTTTCTCATTACCTCCACCTGTATCACCAAACCTGAGCTGTTTTACTAGAAGCTTTGTCTTGTCAGTGAGGAGACCGCTGTCTTCACGCCATACATCGTCATTCGCATCACAGTTGCAGCCTTTGTTGGGATTTGCGCATGAATTGTTCATCCCGCATGCACACTTGGCACTTCCAGGTGAAGCTCCACCCCAATAGGTCATCTTAGTAGAATCACGTGACACCCACCATCCATCTGGATCGGCTTCATACCAAAAACCTGAGTGGTGACACTCGTACTTGATAAACTGTTCGCAGTGTGAGGAAACAATGGTGAGACGGGCGAGCTGAGATAGACTCGCTCCTGTGTAATTAATATCACGTGAGTAACTACCTTTATCTTCATATCCAGCCACAGTAATCCTGCTCTCGCTGTCGTGACTTATGACTGTCACACCAACTTCGTTCTTGTTGGTCATGTCACAGTACACTGAGAATGGCTCCAGACCTCCCTCGCCATCTGGATCAATATTGTAATTTCCACTTGCTGTTGCAGGGTCTCCCTTCTTTAAATGGCTGCATGATAACCATAACCCAGCTACAGAGAGAAGGTGTCCACAATTAATTTTAGAATGATAATTTTCACATCATGCGGGAGCTTGATTATTCAATATGCCCGGTACACCGCATAGAAATTGTAAACTGTCAGACGGATGGAGATGACTTTACCATTAATTTTGTCAAAATAGCAAACCGTGGCGAAGAATATGGAGAATTTTGAGAATGTATTAAAAGTAGCCGGGTGACATGTGATTGGCTTCTTTTTTTTTTGGGAAGTATTTGGGCTAATAGTCAGGTTTTATGAGCTAATGATCAGGTTAGGGGTACACAAGAATCTTTGGAAATTGTTTCTGTGCAATATAGGGCTCTTGTGATACCTATATTTATGGAGATAATATGCTGATCGGGGGCGGGGGGAGAATTGAGATTCAGCAAGGACGGTGAGGGTACTTAGCTAGAAAAACCAAGCGGGTTGTGGGTCCTACAAGTTTGTCTGGAATCAGGGGTATGCCCACTTGACAAGCTACATCTGGGATGGTTTCCACACTGTGGGCGCGCACCGAAGAATTGGCAGAACCAACGGTAAAATAGTTATCACTTTCATGCATGAGGTCTTGAATGTGATAGTTGTTCTTCAGGAGCCACTCAAGGGCGTCGGCAAAGTGATTACAGAAGTAGGGGCAAGGGGTAAGGAAAGGGATCGCAAGCTAAAGGGGTGGCGGAGATCGATGTAAAAGTTGCCCTGCCACTGGATGCTGAGTGGCTCTCGGTTCTCCGGGCAGACTGAGCAGTGTCGGAAGGCGTGTTTGATCTAGTTTGGCCATGACGGCCGTGATGATGTGCAACTAGAGAGAGAGCTTGGTGGAAGGTAGCGTAATGCAATGTGAAGGCTTCCTTAGTTATGTAATAATAAATTGAAGAACCGAGGAGAGAAGAGATATCAGTGATAAGGCACCAGATGCCATCTTTCTTAGGCACTACCCCACGGGGGACCATTGAAAGTTTGGGATTGGTACTGATTTGATTGGTTACGAGAAACGAAACTGTCCGAATTCATGGGTGTTCCACCCCAAATGTTGGAAGTTAAAGGTAGCCACAAAAAATTACAAATAGCACGCTCTCCTTCAAGTTCTCACCCCCCAAAAAAACATCAACAAGACTTTAACAGCGTCTTGAAATTAATTGCATTTTCTGCAACACTCCATTGTCGCCCCGGAGAATCTTCTTGCATCGTTTCACTGATCATAATACTTGTTTTTGTGTGTCATAAACCCTTGTTGTAAATAAGAGAATTATAGCAATTACAAGGTTGTACTGAAGTTAACAGAACACGTTTTACCTTCGCAGTTTTCACCTCTAAAGTCAGCTGGGCAAACACAAACGTATTTTTTCTCAGTATATCCCATGTAGCATGTCCCGTGGTTCAGACAGGGGTTCGTGGCGCAAAGATTCTAATTTGAAAGAAATGAATGGAAAAATCAACATCTTAGTTTGTTATCATCATCTTCTGTTCTTTTTTATGTATCCATGGAAATTTTCCCAGCAATAATTTCATTTCGGGAAAATCGGACACCAAAAAAGTTGCTTCCCCGTGGTTAATAGGCATTTACTCAAGGGTATAATGGCTAGTGTGAACCAACCTATATTGCATGCATCTCCAGTAGAGTCATTAACTTTATAACTGATACCGTTTTCAAATAAAATTCAATGAAATCGTTACTACATAGTGATAGTGAATTCTTAAAGTTGGGTTGAGCCATTGAAAGTCCTACCTGTGTGCCTCTGTAGATCCAGTCTTTTCTTGGTTTGAGATCTTCTGGGTGCTGCAAGTGATCTGAATAACTAAATTCACAGACCAACTTACTGTTGATCGTTGGACCCATATTATATGAAACACATTCCCTCGCAAGGGCGCATTGAACTTGGCAATCTAGGTTTAGTTCCACGGAATGATTTGAAACCACGTGTCCTTCAAGGTAGAAACCTCTGACTGGTGTCAGAAATGTGATGCGTCGGTTGTTTTGACGGCAATTTCCTGAAACAGAAATTTACAAAATTAAGAGAGAATTCAATGACCGACTATAAAGGCAATGAATTGCAAAAACGGGTACTCGAACAAGGCTCGAATAACCGAAGCCATTTCTCACTGCAAAGAACTCAGTCAGGGAGGGCCAAAGACACCTAGAAATTTAGTACAAGTTTTGGGCCCGGTTCCTCGAAAGATGGTTAAGTTAACCCAGGATTAAGCAAAATTTTAAGCAAGATTTTCTGGACTAAAAATATGTTACTAGAGCTTACAAAATAGTGTTTTCTCTTTACGCCGAGACTCGATGATGATAACGGAATAATGTTACTCTAAGAAATGAATCAGGTGCACCCAACGAGAATATAGTTCAAAACCACTTAAACATAGCATTGATAAGCGTATTTTAGTGTTTAAACGGTAGATATAGGCATATTTTTATCCCGTAAAAATTTTTCATGTGTTCAGATTTCCAAGCTGAAAGTCTAGTGATCCGAAAACTATAGGGATCAAAACTTATCTTTTTTGAAAATCTCAGCCAGGAAAAAGGTTCCCGAAAATTCTAGAGGTGACCTTTTTACGTTAAAAATCCGTTAAAAATGGGCAATTTTACCAGTTTTTAGATGTTTGAAAATCCCAGGAGAGGCAGGCAAGCAACAAATTTTACAAGAAATGTTCCGAAAATTCTAGATCTCAAATCGTCTTCCGAACACATATTTTCCGAAAATTGACTTTGGGTGCCCCTGTCCTCTATTAATAAACCTATTTTGAAAATAGAAAAACAATAGAGCTTGGCACATACATGGAGTCCATTAACTCAGTGTTCTTGCCAGCACGAAAAGCCATCCACTTTAAGGCTGCTTTTCACTAGAGACGGAGTAGGAGTCGGAGTTGTAATCAGAAGCGTCTAGAATTTGAAGTTGTTGGATTTGCAATTTTTTGTGCGCACTGACAGATTTTGCTGTCCGTCGATTAAATTGAGTGCTGAATTTGCTGTTTCTGAATTCCGTGCAATGGAACAGAATTTGATGTTACTGAGTAAAAATTGGTGTACTACTGAATTTGGTGAGACAGAATTTGGCGTTATAGAAATTGGCACACAGCACAAGATTTGGCGCAAACAAATTTGAAACCACGAGGTAGAACAGTTGGTGTGACACAATTTGATGCCAAGACATCGCATTTGGCGTTATCACTGAATAGAATTTGGTGTTGTCGAATTTAACAACAAAGGACATTTCTGGTCCCATTTTGACGCATTCCTGCCTGATACGACATGCCAGGGAAATCCCTTTATTTATATACTTTATAATGCAACCGTAGAAAGCTACTTCCTGTTTTTAGACCCTAAATTAAAAGGAGGGACTAAAAGTAGGTGGTAGGAAGAAACAATGACAAATTTAATATATTTTGAGATCGACCTAATGAAAATACATGCGTTAATTAACCCAATGATCAGGGGCACCCGAAGCCTTTTTCATTAATTATTGTTTATTTTTCTGGCCTAGAAATTTCTAAAACTCACGAAAGGCTTAAAAAACCTTCGTCTATTAAAGAGATTCAGAGTTTTTCTACTAACCTAAAAAGATATTTGGAACTTGTGTTTTTCACTTAAGGAGCGTGATTATTGTTATCAAAAGCACTTAAATTTTAGACGCGCCTAATATTTAATATCTATGACACGATGCAAATAGTACAGTGTAATTACAAACGCACCGTCATTTTGCTCTCGAAGTTTTTTTTTTTTTTTTCAAGGTTATCCTGATATTCAACAAGATGAAGTTGAACCTTTAACACTGGTAAACCACTTTTTGTGGCTTGTTATCTGTTGAGCGGCTTTACCCGAGGCTCAGTTGCTCGATTTTGAGTGCATTGATCTAAAAAGGAAAAAATTAAGGCTCTTGATTTGAAACTTAATATAGGCGCTTCACAACTAGCTTTATATGAAAATTCATTTGCAAGGCGCTATGCCAAACAGCAGAGTCTTTTAAGTGGGCCGAGGACGTCCTTCTGATCATAAGACTGAGTGCAGTACTTTAGAATATAGAGAAAGAAGTCAGACACGTTTATCCTATGCATGTTGTGAAGGTATACACTGGGAAGAAGTCGGTGCTTTAGCAGCTACTTAAGTTTACAAAGGAGTTAGATTGCAAAACAGCCTATAGTTGCCCCCAATGATCAAGAACGAGCGCGTGCGATCGCAAGCAGTCTAACAAAAGGCCTGAAGCGAAGGTTTTGCAGTCAAGTCTATAAAGGTGTTGGCAAAATTAACACTCACTGGTAATATGCGATTGCACAAGTTGCTAATGTAACGAGTTTGTGCTCTCGGGCGGCATACAAGTTACAATTGTAAATATCGATTTGGTCTTTAGCACTCTAACAATAAGTAACTGAAAATCTCAGTTGAAAAAAAAAAAAAAAAGAAAAGAAAACCCTTCGGGATCCAACAAGACATATGTGTATGCTTATATTTCAGTCAATATACTTTATTCCTACCTTTTAGTGCAGTTGCGATGTAGTTCAGCCAAGCTCCCCATACAGCACAAACCAGCAAAAGTGCTAACATGGAGAAGCAACGACCTGCTGCCATATTGGAGACAGAAAACTAGGGGAAGCCCTGTAGTGTCGCAATTTGTAATAATCATCGCACTTTGTAATATATACCTCTCGCAATTTCTAACAAATTCATCGCACTTTGTAATACCTGTCGCAATTTCAATAAACCGTGTCGGACTTTGTAATAAAAAAGCTGTCGCAATTTGTCATAACTGTCCATCGTACTTTGTAATAAACTAAGCTGTCGCAATTTGTAATAATTCCATGGCACTTTGTAATAATTTTTGAGAGTGATTCAAACTTCGTCAACATTAAAAATAATAACATGAATGGTATTTTATAAACAAATATGATGACGTCTGCAAGCACGTAGCTTACATCAGTAAAATCCAACTAGTGGTCTATTATCAATGCTGCGTTCTGATTGGTTGAGTTACTACCAGGCTATATGTTATAGCCCACTAGTAGCGAAAAGCGCGGGCTTTTTGGCCGCAAAAAGGATTAAGGTGTAGCTTTAACTAGCTAATTTTTTTTTTTATTCTCGATATTTTTGACCAACTAGTTGGATTTTACTAAAACAATTATTCCTCGAGCCCTTATGGCATCTGAGTTAATAGCCCATTCGGCCTTGGGCCTCATGGGCTATTGACTCAGAGTCCATTCGGGCTCGAGTAATAATTGTTAAAAATTACTTATATAATTTATATCTCCGCTTATTCAAACCATGTAACTTTATTCACGGTCCTTGAGGTCCTCGGCGAGTGGGCGGGGGGGTTGGGATTAAACATTTTATTTTCATCAATGTTGATTAGTTATCTGACTTACGAAATTCTGTATTCTTAAACCTTGCTATTGTACTACATGGTTACCCGGGAGAGGCGGGGGCGTACTCCCTTATATGGCCAATACGGGGATGTGCCTCAAGACACAGCATAGCCTCCCCGCAAACGTCCTTTGGGGTTCGTTCGTCACACATGGGGAAGAAATGGATGCGTGACGAACGAACCATAAAGGAAGTCTGTGGGGAGGCTAGACACAGCATTGTACGAGTACAAAATCTAGACACACTAGACACAAACGAGCTATTATTAAAAGCATTTAATTTCCACAAATCGTAACATCCATCCTTACATCATTCAATTAAGGACACCAGGAAAGTTCAAGCTTTCCGTTTTAGATCTTACAATAGGTCGACACAACACCGTCCTTATCTAACGCGCAATCTTAAAAGAAGTAATACTGGCTTCCATATTTTGACTAGCTTAATCAGGCGAGGCCTGTAACACTGTCGAACCACAACAGAAACATAAACACGAAATCGGATTAGTCGCTGGCCAATACCTTTGTATGTACCTGTTTTTATAAAACTCACGTGGGGTCATACACTGAGCCGGCTGACCACTTGGTCCATTATTCTCTCTTTATTTGGTCCCATATAGGAACAAAAGGAGTATCATTCCATGTTAAAACATTTTTTTTCTATGGGGCCCTCTAAGCCAAATATCGTGGGGATAGTAAAAAATTGTCCTTCCCCGCGGGCAACATGTAACACCTTGCAATTCTTCCGAGAAAGCTCAGGATTTCTTTTTTTCACAAAATGGAAAGGATAATAAACCAAATCATCCATTACTACTTGAATTACCCTATCTAAGGACAAAGACACAAAGCCAACAAGTAAGAAATATATACCCTATTTAAGGTGCGCGATCCTTGGCGGTAGTTACCTACCTAGCCCATATATGCCGATTATCCCCCCTGCATCCAAGACTTCACGTGTCACGTGGCAAGCAAACTGAACATGGGTTTGGACGACGAATGCCAGGGTATTTTGAATTCAAATATATGAAATGATTCATATCCTTTTTTTGGTGACATGTCACAGGAAGTTTCATGTCTTTCATTAAAAAAAGCGATTCTCGTTGGTCACGTGATTAATCAAGGCAGAAATATTTATAACGGAAGACATGCATGTTTGACCAAAGAAAATAATTTAAGTTTATAACAAAGTGCGATGGAATTATTTCAAATTACGACAGCTTAGTTTATTACAAAGTGCGATGGACAGTATTACAAATTGCGACAGCTTTTTTATTACAAAGTGTGGCTCGGTTTATTACAAATTGCGACAGGTATTACAAAGTGCAATGAATTTATTACAAATTGCAACAGGTACTACAGAGTGCGATGATTATTACAAATTGCGACAGTACAAGCCCTCCCAGTCTGGCTTGGTTTATCAGTAAAGAGATAAATATATCCGGGATAGCATTAACTAAAAATGTTCACCTCACCTTCAACGAGTGTATTTGCAACGTAGTTTAGCCAAGCTCCCCAAACAACACAAACCAGTAAGAGCGCTAACACAGCTAAGCGACTTGCCATACTGAAGGCCTTGATGGGGAATGAACCGCTCCCGACTGCGATTGGACGGCTAGTTATCATGGAAAAGCAGAAAATGTCATCCGGGCTTAGTCATCAGTTAATTTGAACATCCCTTGACGTCTTTATTATATAGTTAATTATTTATTAGCATACTTTGTGTCTTTAAAATTGTTTAAGTCAGCTGTAACTGTGCATGTAGAATTCCTTTAGAATAAAAAAATCTACAGATAAAAACGGCTTGGAAACTAAAATTTCGAGGATTTTTTTGGGCTTTTTACATCGAGGGCATAAATTTTTTGTCATTTCAGGCCATGGAGCCTAAAAATGAGCCTAGCTAGCTGTAAAAAGGGGCAATACGGCTGCAATACTTCCTAGCCGGCATGATCACATGCTGTTTACAGAAAATTCCCTCGTCCATGTCAGGAAATTCTGTACTTTAAAGCCTCCCCTTAGGCATGACTTGACAACAGAGGACATTTCTGCTACGTTTTCAATGTTGGTTAGCATGCAAGGATTTTTCCCTTGCCCATCGTCAATGATTTGCTCACTGGTAATAGAGGGGGTGGACCCAGAGTGGTTTTGCATTGAAATTGGCATGCAACAGAGTTTCGCAGAGAGTAAGCAGAGTAAGCATAATTAGAGGCTCCGTGACCTTCTCACCCACGCCTCAAGAAGCCTAGGTTCTAGTAATAAGTAATTCATACCCAGCATGCCCAGCGTGCCAAAATCTCCGGCATGCTGGGAGTGCCAAAATCGGTCTCTGGCATGCTCTCAACGCACGGGTTATAATTCCTTGAATCTACAGATATTTTAAGCCTGGCTAGGAAAAAAAAAAACTCAACAGATCATCGTGCTTATGTTTTGATGTACGGTTTATAAGTCATTTACACGATGACGTCGTTGCTATTCCTTTCATTTTTATACATTTGGTTGTCCCAGCGAAGTTTAAATAAGAAAAGCTCTAATTTTCAAAGGAAAGTAAAATCCTGAGGGATTCTGCCATAGTAATAAAACAGCGTCATCGTGGAGCTGACCTATTGGGGAATTGTATAAACTCCTCACTCCTTTTAATGAGTCTCTTTAATAGGATTCTCATTTCACATTGCGAATAAAATGGAATTGACTGAAATCAGTAAAAATAGAGACAGAGACTATTTTCATTGTATAATAAAATGGATGTATGTTTCATGAAAGCTTTTAAAAATACAAGGTTATAGAATATCTTTCAAAGTTCATTACAAACTGAGCTAAGCTCCAAAATCACTGTCCATTATTCAGTAAATTATGATGTTTGACAATGCAATGTGCTTGAATGTAACGTTGCAATTACAAATCTCACTAACGCAATTTTCCCTACGTTGCAGAAAAGCTGTTTTTATCTTGTTTCACATTTTGATAAGGAGTCTGAGTTCCTCTTTCTTGTTTTGTAGGTTTGCCGGGGATTATTGTTTATGTGTCATTACCAGTGTCTGTGTTCTTTGTTTTTAACTCAAAGTAAGTCAGTAGTAACTGACAGTATCAAAGAATTGCTCTCTAGAACTTGAAGTAATTATCTCCTCGTCATGTCTGGACGTTACCTGTAACAAAAAAGAAATGGAATGTTAACAAATGCAAGGGCAATATGAAAAAAAGAAATAGAACATGTAGAGCTCAGCTTCTCTTAACATATTTTCATACTGGCTTGTTGAGTCTGTTAAAGGTCGCAACTAATTGTCTGAGGCTAATTTCACAAGAGTGTGCAATTGAGATAAAAAAAAATGCATGGTAAATAAAGTAAAGGAAAGGGGTTTCACATTAGCCAATTTACATTGCGTTGTTCGATGATGTTTACACGCTTTTATACTGCGAAATAAACCTTTGCATTTGGGTTTGCAAGTCAAGATTATCCCGAGTTTGACTGACACTTGAGCAACAGTTTCATTTTTAAGCAGGTAAGGTGTGGACCCATATAAAGCCGGAATACATAAAGGAAACTCAGCGAAAACTTTCTGGCATCTTTGTGGCGATATTTTCTCATGGCCCGTCAACTGATTAGGGGTTTTAAAGAAAAAATACATTAGGACCAAAGGTTAAAGCCTGTCCGGTTACATCATTTCACATGTTACCTAGAGTTCTAATAAATAGGTCATAAAATAGGATTTAACGACAGCGAATTTGTTTCTCAATCGGAGAATAAAAAAGTGAAGCTGTCAAATGAGAAGTTTATAAAGTATCAAAATTATTAAATTAAAAGCTCATAATTAGGAAAGTTCCTATACGAAAACAATGCTACTGACATTAAACTGATCAGATAAAATTCTCAGAAAATATGTCGAATAAAAGCCTCATTGTTTGCTTTTGTTTTTGCGTAAAGGTAAATTTTTCGGCCCACAAAGCAAAGTTAAAAAAGCGACTAAAACTTAGTTTTTTACATTGAACATGTTTATTAGCTTAGTTTTCGTCCGTTTTAAAAGCTTTTAACCCAATCATAATTTTCGGGTTAAAATAGTACAAAATCATTTCAAAAACCATGTTCATTTAAAGAAGAGCCGGCAAACGTGAACATTTTGTAATTCAAAAATCGGACCCAGCAAGGTTGTTTAAGCTTAGGATTTTTGCATTTTAGCGTCGTATAAATTTACCAGAATCGCCTCAAAGAGGCTTACTGTAGTAAAGCATTTTGTTTAGTACTCGTAGACAAGCAATGTAAGGCATTAGTCGTTGCTTGGATGGGACATCCAAAAGAAAAATTAGGGTTCTGGACCTAAACACACATTCACAGACTGCTTATTGAGTTGTTTTTAGAACTTTGCATTGACACCTGCAGCATGTTCATTTTTATTAAATGCGAAATCCAAATTTGATTTTGGCATTTGATTTACGGATATTTTATTTTGTCTCCAAAAGTGATTGTAATCCGTTTGATTGTCTTTCAAACAACAGTCAAACTATGTAGCAAAAATAAGTAACCTTACCAGTACTGAAAAAACATGACCGTAGGTGCCAAAAATAATTATGCTCGAGCTATAAAATTAGATCTGACTTGTTTTTAGCTTTGGTTTCTATATTTTTGAAGTTTTCTCTAGTCTTCTTAACAGCAGAAGAAGATTACAAGACGTACAAACAGAAACAATCCGGAGTGAACGAGTCGACAACCACTTATGCCTGAGGGTTCTTAGGCATGCTCAGAAGCAAGATAAACTGAATCCCAAAAGGATAATTCACGAGATTTGTTCGATATTCAGGCTTTTTCTTTACCAAATTAATACTAAATTTGTACTTACAGTCTCTCCCAGAATCCATTTCTTGTCCAGCATTCACCAACATCTCAACCATGCACCGCAAAAGAAAAAAAGACAAGCAAGTGCGAAGAGACATGACGACATTGTGACACCACAACTGCCACGCTACAACAAACTAGATTCATCGTCATCCGAAAACACTTCTGCGGAAATTCGGCGAATTCATGCGTGCGCGGGGCATCTTCAGATGAAGCAGATGACGTTGCTGAAAGAACTATCGTCAGCAAGGAGTAAAACAGTTTGTGAGATTCGCATAGCCGACAAGAAGCGTACTGAAAACCTAAGCAAAATCTCTCTGAGAAGGCATTCCAAATTCACCAAATCAGAACGTCTTTGCAGTATTAACGTCGTACTCGCGTACTGACTTGAACGACCTGGCAAGCTTAATTTTCACCAGTCTTTTAATGCAGCTGTTGACCGAGAAACAGTCCGACGCAACAGAACTTAAGCATGTATAAGCTTGTTGCTTTTTATTCATTTTATCCTTTTTTTCAATTTATTTCGTATTTCACCCTCTACAGTAGATTACTGACAGAGGTTCTGAGGTCCCAGTACTTAAAGGTCAAATGAACCAAAAATTGGACATTTTTTATTTTAGTTCAATTCTAGTGAAATGTGTTTAATATGAACCAAATAAACATACTATGAAGTTTCAGCTCAATTGAAGCAAGTATCTCCGAGATATTCGCATTTAAAAATTGCTGTTTTTTGGCCCTTATCTTCGTAGAGCGGTCGGAAAAATTGTCGGAAAAAACAGTTTGTGACGTCAATGTTGGTCAGGTGAAAAAAAGCGGGAAATTCAAAACAGAGTTTTTCGAGTGGACTTGGTGCAGAAGTGGTTTGTGCGGCCATAAACCTGGAAAGAACAGGCAATTTGTCTTCAAAAGTTGCAAGCTGTGGTTATAACCTTCTTATTATTTAATTTCCTCGAAGAATACATCATAGTAAAACTGACTTTAAGGACATTTACTAATTTCCTTGAGTTGTACTGGAAATGTGCGTGCTTAAGTCCGATTTTTTTCAAGATGCATTCACAAAATGTGTTCATATAAGGAAGTTCCTGGATATATAAGGTCCGGAGCTCCACGGTGGACACAAAAACAGAATACATCTTTGTATAATAATCTGCCCAAAGAAATTCAAGTTTGCCCACAATGTCTTTGAAGTCACTGAACTTTGTCGCACTCGAGCTGATATTTTAAAACCCACGCTCGATCGGACACTTCTAGCTTCGCAGATCACTAAAATGTAAACAAAATCCTCAATGTAGAAGTTTTGGCGTTGATATGAGGGCAGAAAAAGAGTTAATCTTTATCTAGTAAATCTTCCCCAAGATCGGTTTCAAAGCAACCATAGTTTTCTAAACTTGATCGTTTCGCGCAGATTAATTTTGCTTTGCATGTGTTGTCAAGTTGAACATGCATAACACTTGTTAAAAACCTACGCGTTAGTAAGATTTCCTTCAAACAAAGTTAAAGTTATATTATTGCAAAAACTTCTTTCCAATTATGTATAAGATTTACTTACCGATTGAGGTCACTTTAAGGACCATAGACGCCACTTTAAGCTGGCAAAGAGATGCGACAAGCAAAGAACAATTCCATCATGCATAAAATTCAGCTTAAGTGAACTAAAAAAAGCTTCAATAAGGTTGGAAAACAACAAATTTTCATTAAAAAAACATAAGGGTTAAGGCTCTTATACCTGATGACAAAGAAGAAGTGAATTTTCTGTATGGAAACAACCTACCTAAAGATCTTGAAAGAAAAAGATCAGTTGCAAGGACCCTGCAAGCGTCGCAGCCAAGCCATGATTCCGACTACTTAGCTAAATTAGCTACTTCTTTTTAGTAATAACTGGTCCATGCGAGGGTCTTCATTCAAGCAAATTAAACTCAGCAAACTGAATCATTAGAAAATACAGAAAACTGCACATAAGGATTACTTTTGCTCGCTTCAGTCAAATCCAGCTCCAGCAATTGTTTACGGGCAAAGAGTTGATTGTTTTGGAGTCACTGCCGGCAGTTGTCGTTCTCCGCTACTTCACAGCGAGAGAAAGGAAAATTTGCGGACAGATAGATAACAAAACTATGTAATTAAAACTGGAAAGACTAAAGGAAAAAAAACTCTGACTGGTTATGAGATTATGCATGCAAATTGGTCCAACTATTACTTGAGCAACAGAAAAATGATCGAAGTACACTTTTCTTCTCGAGTAAGCTTGCTGGCCTTCTAAAGTTCCGAGGAAGTTTTAAGCGCTCACGTTGGTTCACTCGCACGTTAGCATTACGGTTCTTTGCCGACATAAGACAAGGATAAAGCTGGTTCTGCAAAGGTAAATAAAACTGGGCATTTTAAAAAAAGTAACCGTCACTACTAATAAGAGAATACAAGCGGGTTTTAATTCAGTCCGGCGAAAGAAGGCGAAGCGCTGGACAAAAAATCAATTCTCAAATCGAATGCACAATTATCAGGAAAATACAAACCTCTTTGGAAATGTTCAAAACGTTTTATTCCTCCTCAGACTGACGGATGATCAGTTTTAACTCTAACATTGGTTGTTCTGAATCCAAAGTAATTTTCAAGAGACGAAAAAACAAGAACAACAACAAAAACAAAAAAAAGCCTTTACAAGGAGCAACGTTCACACCTCCTGTATTTCATTCAGTCTCAGTCAGAACTCTCACAGAACTAGACAAACAAACGCAGGCGATAAGGGATGCGCAGAAGCTTGCGCCGAACGTTTTTCCGCCCTGAAAGACCACGTAGTCACGTAGTCTCCAGTCTATCACGCAGCCATTTCAGAAACGTTTTCGTGAAGTTTTCGGAAATGCTCGGATATTGATCGTTTATCTTTCTATAAAGGCTTGAGAAGAATAATCTTTACCCAAATCTCACTTAGGATGGTTCTTTTTAGCGTTTGGTGAAGGTAAAGCGACAAAAGAAAATATGTCAATTTGGACTACTTAACAAATTCGAAATTCTCTCTGGACTCAAGATTAACTGTTCAAAAACTGAAGGTATGTGGATTGGATCTAAGAGACATTATAAAGAAAAACCATTCGGTATTAAATGGCCGGACGAGGCAATAAAAGCTCTAGGTGTATATTTTACTTATGACCAAAAATTGCTTAAAGAAAAGAATTTTATAGAAAGACTGGATTCAATTAAAAAACTTATTAACATATGGTCCGCTAGAGGCCTGTCGATATACGGTAAGGTGACAATAATCAAATCTTTTCTTATCCCTAAGTACATTTACATTTGTTCGATCCTTCCAACTCCCAAGGAATTACTAAAAGAATTGAATAAAATACTGTTTAAATTTCTCTGGAAAGGTGTAGATAAGGTAACAAGAGCTTCAGTTATAAACGAATACGAAGAGGGAGGGCTAAGAATGGTTGATCTCGAGTGCATGGTTAAGTCATTGAGATTAGCTTGGTTAAAACGTAGCTTCAGTGGGACTAATGGAACTTGGAAAAGCTACCTACAACACATACTGAGCTCCGTTGGGGGATTGTTCTTTTTTAACTGCAACTACAATATCTCGGATTATACAATTCCTTCTCAATTTTATCAGGAACTTTTTTTATGGTGGTCGCAATTTCGTGAAACGTTTGCCACTGTAGAAGATTGGAAAACGATAATCTGGAATAACAAAGAAATAAAAGTAGAAAACAAGCCGGTTTATTATAATCATTATGTTAATGCGAGAGTCATTTGCATTCAGGATCTTTTATTTAGTCTGAACAGTACTGATTCTTATAATCAACTGTCTAAAAAAATATGCAAAACAAATATTTTAGAATGGGCTGGCTTACGCAGGCCCATTCCATTATCGTTAAGAAGTTATGACAGGTATCCTTCCATAAACTCACCAACATTTGTGGTGGGTGACAATAATTTTGATGTTACGAAAGGGAAATCAAAGGATTACTACAACCTACTCATCAGAGAAAAAGTTAAACCGCCCAATATTATTCAAAAATTACAGAGTAACTTTCATTTTAACAGCGACAATCTGAAGCAAATATTTAAGAGCGAATCCATGCAAAAATCGACCAAAATCGCCGATTCGTGGCAAGGCTCAAAAAATCAAAATCGCTCTTCTTTTGCAGACTGGTAGACTTTAGTAAGTTTACAAACGCTATGTATTTTTTTCTTCGAAAGATCTGTTCCTTTCCGAGAAAAACGGAGAAAACCGTTTCAAGCCCCACCGTCGATTTCGCAAGCCAAAAACAGGGTTGAAATTCATCATGATTCGCTGGACTCGCGTTCCAATACAACCGCGCTAGGAAGAAAACTTATTGCTAAAATGTTAAGTTTAACTCGTCGTTGATCAAAAGATATAATATTTTTAGCATTACAACCGTCTGAGTAATTATAAAAAAACTAAAGCGTACGGCTACCTCATGTTTACCCACGAAAGGTCGTTGAAAACAGCGACGATTTTCATCATGTGCCTTTGATCAGAATTTTTTCAGATTGAAGGGGAATACACTACAGGCATCAAACGTTTATGTTATGTAAAAATTATTTTGGGGAAATCATTTTGAGCTTCTCAGAAATTATTTGAAAATCGTTTTACAGACAACATAAAGTAACGCCATCTTTAACAATGCGTGACCATCGTCAGTCGACCAGGCAAAGGTCATCAAACGTCTGTCCTAAAAAGTCTTGCTAATATTCACGCACAAAGTTCTAAATGTTAAAGTACTTACCCTATTCTTTGTTTCAGGTCTAGGTTTACGGCAAAATGTTTCCCGTTGTCATCTGTTCAAGTTTGCCATTCTATATTAAACTCTGTTTGAGAGTCATAACCAACACGCATGCTTTCTAACGAAGTTCGCTTATGTTAATTCAACACGTAGTAAACCCTCTCTTCCTTATCTGTCAACAACTTTTGTCTCAAAATGCTGCTGGACATCGCAGAAGGAAACGCCAATCTGAAGGATAAAGCGCCCTACGGACGTTTTGTGCCTCAGTATGCAAATTACTTTCAACGATAATATCGGATTACAGCTGTCAAGATCCCGGGGCCCAGGGTCAGGATCCGCTAAAAGCAGTCGAAAAGCAAACGTAAGACATGCGTGTAATATAAAATTTTTGAAAACGAAGACTTTAATTGGTAGCCTCGCTGAAGATTTTCATTGCTTCGAGACGTCGGCATTGTCAAATCAAAAGATGTCTTAACAAAAAATTGTGTACATATAGAACTTCCAGTTGTTGGCTGAACGTGGGTAATCCTGGCCTGCACGTGCGTTATTTCAGAGTGCCTTCTTAATAAAGGACAAAATTAATGTACTTTCTGCTGTGCTAGATGTCACTTTTCGTGAATTGAAACAAACATTATTTACGTTTTTTTTTGTTAGTAAATTTGAAATAAGACAATTTCCAAAACAAAAAAAAATACATTCTTCTGAAACAGCGGAGACAACAGAACCTCGGTCATGAAGGATCCGATGGTGCCTTGCGATCTTTAACCGGTGCCGAGTAAGACCAGGAAGCCAGTTTTGCAAGTTTCGAAATCCATTTTGTCTCAGTGACATAAGGGACGGACCATCAGAAAACTTATTGGCGGCGGGGAGTACAAAAAAAATATTCGCGCAAGGGAAAATTAAATGAAAAAATTCATGCACGCCAATTAACCCTAAAAAATATTCATGCTACGGCCTAAAAAATTCCATACAAGGAATTTGATAACGAAAAAAAATTCCTGCGGCTCAAAAATTCCCCCCATAACTTTTCTAATGGTCCGTCCCTAATAGATAAGATTTCTCTTCGTGATCCCCAGTGTCTTGGGTTCTTGTAACACTGCAAGCGCATTTGCTACTGAGCTTGAAGTCAATGGCTTCGTCATTGGTCTGCTGAGCTACAATTTGAGATTGAACTAAGGATACCCAGAGTTTTTCAGCGTCTTCTGGCGCAATCTCCTACCTGTCCGTCAGTAGGGCGGGTAGGAGACAACCCTGGGAACGAGGTTGCAATCTCTCCAAGAGTTGCATCGACCACTTGTTTTGCTGTTCGAATGTGGAATCGTTGAGTTCTATCCGACGCCATATCCCCCACACGTTGTCTTGAATGAGGTACAAGTTAGTCGTTTGAAGGAAATGTAAAAGAGAAAAAAAAAAAAAACACAAACAAACGACAGCAACAAATGCCATCAGAACTGGACTATGAGCTTTAACTTTTACAAAAATAATTATTTACTCTAGGGGAAATCGGGTTTAATTTCAAACTAAAAGAAAAACTGAAAGTTTTATTTTATCGGACAGATTAGGTGGATTGGTGCCGTACCCGGGAGACTCTGAGTTGTCTAAGAGAGTTGACAACTATGGTCAACATTATATAGTATTCGCGGATTGAATCCAAGTGACTTATTAGAATATAATACAATGAATAAACCAAGAGTACCTGAACCTACAGGAATGAAGATACCGGTTTGCTGATAGATATATTCTGAAATGTTCTTCCTCTAACTCCTTTGCCGGCTTTAACAGGTTTCCCTCTTCTTTCAATTATGTGATTGGCTATTTCCTTTGGAACTTGGCACGAATTGGAATAACTGTTCCGTCGTCATCCAATACCGAGCTCAGAACGATGGAAAGGGCATATCTCTTAAAGGAACTTAGGGCGCTTTCCATGTGTCAGAACTGCCGGCTGGAACATAGTCCGACCAGTCATTTTGAAATTGAAGTAGGATTTTTCCAAGAGTTTTTGCTGAAAACGTTCTCTTTCGAGCATACTATTTCGGATTTGACTGATCTAGCTGAAGAGTTTGATTAAAAGGGAAATTATTATTGTGACAGGAATGGTCTGGCTGGTCAGTTCTGAGACAAAATAAAGTCTGTTTCGCTTTCAATACCAGACAGAGACCGACCTATGCGCAGTTACGTCCTTAATAGTTTAACAGCGACAAAGGAACAATCCCAGTTGATCTCTGCTTATCCCTTCCATCAAACGAACACAGACTAGCTACTAATGACTCGAAGGAGCACGAACCTTCCATAGCTTCATGGAAGAAGAGAGCACAAACAGTGTTTATGCAAAGATCTTTTTCTTTTTCAAGTGGGAATGAACAGTTGAATCAAATTAAACTAAATTTCATTCAATAATGTTAATCAAATGCCTAAAACGTCAAAATATTAAAGATAATTCTCGGGTAAAATAATGTCAACTGGAGTATTTTTGAAGAAGGAGGAGTATGAAAGATGAATCTTCTTCAGTGTACTGGAAGTAACGGGTGAAAGTCGGTGAAGCTCGTCACGTGTATTTCACCGGAAGTAGACCCTTGGCACACTCCTATGCAAATGAGATTCGAGAAGTGAACGGATCCACGAGCAAGGCCGGAACTTTGCTTTGTTAAACTACCGAGCTTTATTTTATAGACGGCTTTTTTAAGGTCCAGGTTTCCCAAAATTTTTAACAAGCATGAGATGTTAACTTGAAAACATTAGAGAAAACAGAGGGATGAAGAAATTACCAGAAAGCTGTCACGCACCTCCACAATGCTACAATGTGAACGAACACATTCCAGCGGACTTCACGACTACGGTAACATAGGTGATAAGAAGGCAAAATGAAAAAACTTGGAGCTTGAAGTACAACAGATACAGGTTAAAGTGAGCTTTTCAAAAAAATTGTTCTACATATCAAGGCTACCAGCGTTTGAAACCTAAAGTCACTGTAAAGTCAAATTGTTGGTTGGTGGTGGTCGCGTGACTCACGTGTTGAATGGCGTTATTTTATGTTGTCTGTAACAGGAATTTCAAGTAATTTCTGAGAAGCTCAAATGATTTCCCCAAAATGATTTTAACATAACATAATAGTTTGATGCTTTTAGTGTTTTCCCCTTCAGTCCTGAAAAATTCTGATCAAAGGCACATGATGAAAATCGGGGCTTTTTTTCAACTACCTTCCGTGGTTGAAGAACAGGTAGACATACGCTTTAGCTTTTTTATAGTTACTCAGACTGTTGCAATGCTAAAAATATTATATATTTTGGTCAACGACGAGTATTACTTACAATGTTAGCAACAAGATTTTTTCCTAGCGCGGTTGTTTTGAAATGCAAGTCGAGCGAATCATAGTGAATTTCAACCCTGTTTTCGGCTTGTCGAAATCGACGGCGGGGCTTGAAACGGTTTTCTTATTTTTCTCGGAAAGGAACAGATCTTTTGAAGAAAAAACTACATGGCGTTTGTACACTTACTAAAGTCCATCAGTATGCAAAAGAAGAGCGATTTTTCTTTTTTGAGCCTTGCCGCACTTTGGTCGATATTTGCATGGACTTGCTCTTAAGCTGCCACACTCTATCGTTGTCGAATCGTATGTTAAAGCCTTCCAGTACAAAGTAATTAACTCAATTCTTTACACAAATAGAAAGTTGTATAATATAGGTTTAGGACAAATGATTTATGTACTTTCTGTGACAATCAACCTGAATCATTAACGCATTTGTTCTATCACTGCTCACGCTCTAAACAGTATTGGATTGAATTTGAACTATATTGGTGCCTTATTTCGAATCAACGAATTCGTCTCTGCTTGGAAAATGTGCTCTTTGGAATTTTGACGGAAAGTGCTTGCCCTTTACTTCAATTGCTGAACTATTTTATAATTATTGGAAAACTCTATTTGTGGGACTGCAGGAGCAAACAAATCCTTCCAAACATTTATGGATTTAGAGCCAAGATCATCGCTAAATATGAAACAGAAGAAAAAAATCAGCAACGCCTTATTTAAGTTAACAGTATTAACTCCGTATTATTTCATTGCTCTGTTGTACTTTTTTACAATTTCTTTTAGCCCTGTAACACTTCCTGTAATAATTTGACATTTTTTTTTTGCTTTACTCTGTTAATGTCTCTTGTTAAAGTGTTTTTTTTATGTGTGTGTGTGTGTTTTGTAAATGTAATTATTTAATGTGATTATCAATAAACATATTTTTTAAAAAAAATGTCAATTTTTTGGTTCATTTTACCTTTAATGAGATGATGGCTGAGTTCTTTCTCGTTTAGCTTCTAGTATAACTACTATTCGTTTTTCAGTGCACTGCAGTACATCATGGATTTTCGTATTTTGTACTATAAAGATCGTGAAAATGTGATGTTGCAATATCTCACTTTAGAATAGACGACAAGCCCTTTTTCTACAAGAAATATTACAACATTGGTATCTGGGAAATAGGAGACGTACATTTTGATCTCAGCGAACGGAATCCTACGAACAGATTGCAAAAAATGTTAAAAAGACAAACTTCCTTGAATGGACTAGTATGAGACATTCAATACCAACCAACTTAAGAGTTCTTAATCGCTCGGATTCGAGTACCTTTAATGCAATACCTTCCTTTAAAATCAATGGCGGCGTTTTCGACATGGCAAAAAAGAAATCAAAAGATTATTATCCTTTTTTGATCAAAAAGAAGGCTTGTTTCCCAAATTATGCACAAAAACTGAAGTTGGATTTTAATCTATCTAATGACGATCTCAGAAAGGCATTTCTCTTGCCCCATTCTATCGCGTTTGAACCTTATGTCAAAGCCTTTCAATTTAAAGTACTCAATTCTATACTTTTAACCAACTCAAAGTTGTTCAAGATTGGGTACAGGACAGACAACTTGTGCTCTTTTTGCAAAAGGGAATCAGAAACTATTAGACATTTCTTTTGGGACTGCCCTTATTCGAATTCATTCTGGAAATGTATTGAATCATATTATTTTGGGTTGCGAAAACAACTAGTTCACCTAACATTAAAGGAAATTTGGATCGGCTTTTTATCTTCTGAATGCCCCTTGCTTAATTATCTTATACTTATAGGGAAAATATATTTATGGAGTTGCAGAAGGAATGAACTACTCCCAACCATAAACAGTTTTATAGTTAGAATAAACGGTAAATATGAAATAGAAAAATAAATTTTCACTAAGAATAAGAATTTACAAAACTTAATGGACAAATGGACTTTGTAATCTAGGTAGTTTTTCTTCTTTTGAAAAAATGATTAGTTTCTTCTTTTTTGAATAGCACTTGTAAAATAACAGTAGGCATTACCTTGTGTGGCAATTGTGGAATTGCACGTGTGCTTAGGTGTGTAGTAAGTTTGTGCATGTATGCTTTGTGATAATAATTGTAATTGTTGTAATTGTTGTACTTTGGAATAGCAAATGAAATAAAATAAAATGAAGTAAAAATAAAAAAATATATATCTAAAAACAGCATTTGTGATGAAATTCAATAACGATATTCCGCTTTCGACGACGGATAAGAAAGAATGAATACAATTTAATAATTCAGGTAACTACGTCTGAGTTCACACATAAAAAGAATGCTATGCTTATAGATTATTTAAAAAGGAATTAAGTCATCTTTTCCTTTCGTTTTTTTTTTTTTTTTTAATTTTCCCAACGATAAGGTCGGTCGGGTGACGAAAACAAAGCTCTTTATGGGGAAGGCCTTCGTTCTCAAACTCACTGTTTAAAATTTGTTTTTTCTCAGTAATATTTAATGAGGATAGTTAGCGTGTAATTTAAGACGGGTAATTAGATATGTTGATTAATATTTGTAGGTAAAAGCGTTTTAGAAAAAAAACACGAATAACCATTTTAGATTGTGTAGGACACTTTGTACTAGTTACTAAAATTTTAATCTATCTTAAAGAGTGGAAGTTCTCTCGATGAAAATGGTTGTCTTTACACTAAGCTGTCAAATGAAATCCAAACGATGTTCTCACAACCTGCAAAGCGATCAGCAAGGGTCGTGCCAGAGGATTTGTGTACTGATCATGCGCATTACGTCAAAAACCATAGATCAACGGTCTTGAGAAGAAACAAAAACATGGCGGTCGAAGACGGCACTGTTTCTCACTAATATATAGATTTAGCCACAGCTAAAAGCGAAGCTCCCATTGTTAAATATATAACTTAAATCAAACAATAATTTTGTATTCCACAAATCAGTTAACTTAAGAGCACATTCATGTGACTTTTGAGGCAAAAGCTAAGTGATTTTGGAGTGAAACAAATTTTGTATCAAGTTGAGATAGCCTTATATGCACACCCAAAAAATAGTCTTCGGTCACATTTAAGAGCAATAATGGCTCTTGATCACAGTAGATAAGGCGTGGAAAACAAATTCTTGGAAAACAAATCAGAGAGAATTTTTTGCGTTCGACAAGTTTACAAATTCTTGCCAATAAATCTGAGTGCGTGCAAACCAATCTTTTATTGCTTTTTATAGACCACATCAGAGGAGAAAGAGTACTATGAGGCGCTGTTTTTATCAAACAGACCTCGTACAAAATGCAGTATTTCACAATTTTTCAAGACAAATTGCGTTCATTCAATATTCAGGACCATCGAAGCACGCGTGGACTTTAATTAGCGAAACCGTTCAAAAAATTTCCAAAATCACCTATACGGCCAGCCTGTTCTAAATTTTGACAAGCGCCAAATTTGCTAAGAAATTTTAAGAGTTACGCTTCAACGTGATAAAGAATTTATTGAGTCTATTTTTTATTAATGGTTTTATAACGATGTGTAATCTTAAAAAGCGTGTGATACGCTTGGCATTTTGAGTACTCCTGCAAGCGATGTTTATGAACGGCTGAAAAAAAAACGGCAAAGCGATGAAAATTACACTTACCAACAGACTAACAGACTACCAACAATCAGTAAAGAAATATAATTCGGTAGAATATTTAGAGAGACAACAATTTTCATTGACGAAAACAAATGAGTATTTAAGTGTCTCTAAGAATCCTCAAGTCTTTACTAGTAAGCTTAAAGATTAAGTTTATGTTTTAACCCGCCGGTTTCCCGGTGTTTGCTGTTTTCAAAGATGAACTCACGACAAGAAAATTGCTCAAAGCTTTCTTTCTACAGCCAAAATTATAACTAAATATTCTTCAGAAAGTTTTTTCTTTCTATTTACGGGGAATTAATATCGACTAAAGGCTTTTTAAAGATCTGTAAGCTTAAGCTTATATATATCAAACCTCCTAGGTCAGATCAGTGTCTCAGTCAAATCTTAATACAAACGTGCATAAACCAGCTTCATAAACTGCGCCGATGGACTTCATGAAATTATATTTAAATACAATAATTACTCAGGCTTACCATATTTCGAGATGCAGCTCCTGAAAGCTTTCAAGTAAGGCAAGAATCGCTTGAGCCTTTATAATTCACGTACGCATTCAGCAAGGTGAAAAACAAAAACGAAGCCATCCGAAGTCGGATTATCGGCTTTGACAAGCGACGCATTTCTCAACCAAAGACCGAATAAACAAACCAGCCATGAATAAGAGAACACCCTTGATAGCAGCTGTATTTCATTTTGTACTTCCAGTGGAAAAAGACAGTTAAAAACATCACGAGTTGACTCAAAACTCTGTCAGCTTCAGCTGTCAAAGTAAACAACTTTAAAGATGCTACATAAATTTTACGCATGAATTCACCTGCCAAATTTTAACCAATCAGACCATAAAAATTGGACATGGAGCGTGACCAACACGTGACCATGGTAAGAAAAGGTCTTCCCCGCTTGTATTTTAAAAAACTGGCTGACATTTGGCGTCTGAGGTCAGTTTGAAATCAAAATCGTAATACTGTGGGGCGATACTGACTTAAACACAACATATTTGATATTAATTTTTTAAAAAAGTAAACGTGAGCCTGCAATCATTTGAAAACGGATAACTTAAAAAAAAATATTCGACCTTGATGGGTCGACACCTGAGCCCGCGATGTGGTCAGGTGATATTGGTCAGCGGATACCTTGTTTTGACAGCTGTCAATTGATGACAACATTGATTTGCAATCAGCTTTCTCCTGGGCTCCCAAAGTAGCTAGAAAGTGAGAGTAAACATTGGTATGGCTGTGGTGCGGACGGACGGTCGCTCGGTCGGTCACGTGATTACCAAATTTTCTGGGATGGGTAGATCTATTTACCCATGGTGCTCAGCTGGCGCGCTTCGCGCGCGGAGCTCCGCTATTATATTTTGGTAATTCGCAAATGTATTGATTTTATGTAGCTTTTCAGACTTAGTGTGTGGTTTTCTTTTTCTGTTAAACAACTTCCCACTGCAGAGTTTGGAATATGCAACACATAGCTCCGTACAGCTGCTAAGAACCGCTGAAGAGTTGAGCTATCGAACAGTGTTTTGCTGCAAACCTTAGGAAAGTTAAAGTCGCTTCAAGGTACAGAGCTTTCAGTAGTAGTTGTGATTTGTTTATTAGGATCGTTTTGAATTTTAACTTTGGATTCAAGGCGTTCACTGATCGAAATAAACGAGTAGACCTTTTTACCGATACGGCGGCCATATTGAATTAATTGGATTTAAGGAGTATTATAGGATGCTCAGGGGGCATGAGCACATTTCGTTTGTATTTTCGAGAGCTTTTCGGGACATTTTTTCTTAAAGTTTTCTTAGAATAAGATTGTGATAGGAAAAAAGATCCTTGTGCCGTGTTTGGATGTTATAATGATCGCCTTTTTTGCAAAGAAATATAGAGTGAAAGACCATATTTCTAATACTAAACTAGAAAAAGGCGATCATCATACATCCAAAGACGGCACAAGGATCTTTTTTCACATTACAATCTTATTCGGAGAAAACTTTAAGAACAAATTTCCAAGAAGGCGCTCGAAAATACCAACGAAATGTGCTCATGCCCCCTGGGCATCCCATAATACTCCTTAAATCTAATTAATTCAATATGGCCGCCGTATCGGTAAAAAGGTCTATTAAAATGTTATGAAGTGTTAATTTTTATTCAGTTATGATAAGTAGAGCAGTAAGCTCATATTTATAAAGCTCTCTTGAATAGCTTCGGATAAATTTGACACTTGCTCCAGTAATTTGTATCAGTATCAAGTTATCCTTGCCGGGCTAAAACGATGTAACCTATAAATAAATCCATTGAGCTTGTTGTTGTTGGTTAAGATCTAACACGGTTGCGTTTTAGTTTCCTCCGCACTTCAGTACCGAAAGACAAAGTAACGATGTGCAAGAAAAACAAAGATGCATGACATGATTTTTTCTCAATTTTTTAAGCATTTCTGATTTCCTCTGCCGGTTCGCTTCTTGCTTCTAAAAATATTTACTGTGGGAAAAATACTGTAATTATCCGCTGACCACTACGCTGGCTGACAGCTTTACAAGTTGTGAGAACATCGTTTCTCGGTCCCAGACCTCGTCTCTCCCAAACCCCCCACTCCCCTCTGTTCTTAGGCCTCTTGCAAACGTCGTGCTACTGCCTTGCTAAGCTGGCTCTACTGTAACTTGACTACAGCACGACACTAGCACGAGTTGGTTTCAGACGTCGAATTTAATTCAGTCGAATAGAACGGCTGTTGCCGAAAGCAGAACACAAAAATAAAGAAACGGTTTAGCAAACCTTTAAATATATTCTAATGTATTTATAATTTATTAATAGAGTTCGACACGGCGGCAGCACGACCTTTGAAACCAAGTCGAGCTACTGCCGTGTAGCACGGCAAGGCTTGCCGTGCTACACGGCAGTAGCACGACTTGGTTTCAAACGTCGCACTACTGCCGTGCTAAAGTCCAATTTAATTCGATCAATTGAGTTCGACACGGCAGTAGCACGACATTTGAAATGGGCCTTATAGTTACACGTTTTCTGGCGGAAAATAATGTCGTACGTTTTCTCGTTCACTTTTTTTTCTCGGCCGCTTGTTTTCACCCTGCATTGGTGGTCGATAGCATTTCTCATTTTGTCACTGCCGCTACAAAATTTTCATGTTGTTCTTCCAACAAAGAAATGTCTCCTTTGTTTTTTATCTCTCGCTTTAGATCTCCGTCGCCCTTTTTCTCATTGAGCTTCGCTGGCCTGCCGCCTACTTCCACTTTTTCTCTGTCTCTCCGTTGCTCTATATTCCAAATTTGCGAACCTGAAAATTACTGTACACAACACGGATACAGAAACAATTTCCGCTTTCCGTTTTCGTCTTTGTTGACTCTTTAGTCGTCCCTGCTTTACAAGACGCCTGTGGCTATGCGATTTCCCACCAAAATAACTTCGAGTTGTATTTGGGTTACCATACCTGTTGATTGAGTTATTTTACATTGGTATGACTGTGTTGCGGACGGACGGTCCGGCGGTCGGTGTACGGTCACGTGATTTCCAAATTTTCTCGGATGGGTAGATTACTTCATTTTCTTACGCATGGTATTCCGCTGTGCGCGCTTCGCGCGAGAGAGCTCAGCTATTAATAAACCTATTTAGAAAAAAAAACAAAACAAAACAAAACAAAACAATAGAGCTTGGCACATACAAGGGGTCCATTAACTCAGTTTTCTTTTCGACACGAAAAGCCATCCACTTTAAGGCTGGTTTTTACTAGCGACGGAATCAGAGTGGGAGTTGTAATCAGAAGCGTAAAGCTTTTGATCTAGTGAAAACAGCGTTCTGATTCCGCTTCCGACTCCATGGCTCAAGTTACACTTATCTGGTGAAAACCAGATTGTCTACGTCGGAAGCAGAAGCGAAAGAACTAAACCAATCACAAAGTGTGGGGACGTGCATTGTGATTTGTTTATTCTTCCGCTCCTGTTTCAGACTCAGAAAATCTGGTTTTCACTACATCATAAGTGTAACGTAAGCGTTGGAGTCGGAAGCGGAATCGGAAGAAATGGGAACGTTTTGACTCCGATTCCGTCGCTTTTATGACTCCGCTTACATCTCCGAATTTTGATGTTCACTAGGTCAAAAGCGCTCTTACCACTCCGCTTAAAACTCCGACTAAAACCAGCCTTTTAGAGAACAGCGCGGCTCAGCCTTGCTTACAGAAGCTACCATTTATTTATGTGTGAGCAGGAGCCCAATATTCAGTATGGATTTCGTGCCCGTTCAAAAGCTATCCTATATAGGTGGTTTTCACGTTACGTCATCGCCGTCATGCTGGTGGACGGTAAACAAAAGATCGCTGATTAACTCGCTTTTTTGTCCACCAGCATTTGTTCATTTCACCATTGTTATTTTTGTCTTCCCAGATTGCATGAAAACCACCTATAGTGTAAACTTTGCCTAAGGCTATAGTCTCACATAGCTGGTGCTTTATCAGCTCAAAAATTTCTAGAGAAAATCAACCGACCCTTTACCTCCCAAGAAGAAACAATGCTTACGTAGCTTAAGCGGGAAAAGATTGGCTCACTTCGATTCGCCAGAGCTTATTCCTGTTTAGCTTCTTTGAACATTTTGGCCGTTGCCCCTGCAGTCTGAAGGCAGGTGCTGAATTATTTCACCAAGGAGGGTCCTCCAGTGTTCTGTTTAAGTCTCATAAAGGAGTAACTATATTTGAAGGGAACAGGAAGAGTGGTAGGGAGGAAGTAGTCTCCCACGCAGCTCTTTTTTGTTGTTTTCGCGTTGCGTTAAAATCGAAACAAAAACGGCTGCGTATGACTACCGAGGAAGCCTAATGTTCTATTCTTGAATGGATGGTAATTTGCATGAACCAACGCAACCTGTTAATGTACGCATACATTTAAGACGTCTGAACAACCGCATTGTTTGATAATATGCAGGTCATTTTGTTTGTGTTTCATGCGCAAACAGTCATGATCATACAGTTAATAAATTTGCCACCTAATAACATTTCCATCCAAGGGCTAGGGAAGGGAAGTCTGGGGTGGCTACTCAATTATCACGGCATTAACTCTTCTTCTCTAGTCTCAAAGGTAGCTTTTCTTGTGTCGATCTTCACGAAACTCGACGACTCGAAAAAGCTGTGTAAGTGAATACTTCCTCCCTGCTTCTCGTCATGTCCGCTTCAAACAGTTTCTTCTTCCAGACTAAACCGATCTACTTCTACTTCTACTACTTCTACTATACTACTTCGCAAAGCCTGTACAGCATCACGCGAAGGATCCGTATATCAAGGTTGACCACAGCGCCGCCCTACTCTTTACGAACAGTGTGTGGGTTCTTTAACGTCCCACAGTATTAATATAGGCAAGGATTGTGAGACGGGGCCTACGGTTTTTCGTCCTTATCCGAGAAGACTAGAAAGTCTAACCATTTGCAGATGTCATTACAAAGGCAGCACTTTCTTCTCAGTTATTGTTAAGACCCTGAGTGTTGGTCCGGCCGGGGCTTGAACCCGCGACCTCCCGCTCAACAGACCGGTGCTCTCCCAACTGAGCTAACCAGGCGGCGGCGGATCTAAACCGAACTCATGTGTGAAATTCAGAAAAAAAAATTGAGCAAGTGTATATTATGAGGAGTCTTTAATCCTGATCACATAAATTGACAAAGTAGCGAGTTCCCGGACCCTTGCGTTTATCTTTATTCAACAAATCAGCGTCGACGACACATCCCGTCCCTACCCCAGCTGATTTCAAATCCCTACACATTCAGTTCTATCTTCCTAACTACAAACAAAAACAGGTACAAAAAATCAAAACTGCTCTTCAAGAATTGAATTGAATATGAATTGCAATCGGTCCGGGGATCAGAGGCATAGCTGCGTAGGAGTATTGTCAACATCTTTTCGCGCCATCTATGGATAATTAAAGAACATTACGTCAGACCCCACTGCAGTCTTGACTTGTCCATTTCAGTCTTGTATTTTTGGTGGTTTTGGCGCCAACAATTATAAACCATTTGTCTCCCGATCAAATCAATCGACATTACATTGAACCATTTGCGTATGCTTTAAACCATTTGTCTCTCGATTAAATCATTCGACCATTATTAATATTGAATCATTTGCATATGCTTTAAACCATTTAATTTGCAAATGTTTGCGTGAGTTCCATTACGCAACAGGTAGCCGATCGTTCGTTATCAAGCTCGATCATTTCGCACATGGTACCGATTCTTGTGTGGCCGTATCGTTTTAACATCTACCAGTAAACAGCTTCTCGTCTGACCAAATCGTTTGTAGTTTAGGTGAGCCATTTCACACAAAACAACCAGACTGTTTTATTTTAAGAATGATCATTTCTGTATTATTTTAACCATTTCGTAATTCATCACTAAACCATTTGCATTTTGTCTGTGCTTTTTGATATGATTGTATCTTTGGTGCCAGTAACGGCCGCCCATACTGATCGGCTTAGTTGGCCTTCCGTTTTTTAAATGCAATGAATTGCGTTTACGTTTGGTTTTCACTGTCCAAACAGCAGCCATTCTTCTGAAAAAATATCTTTTAATTCATGTTTAATGGGGTTCGATCAACTTTATACAGGTCGTGCTAGCGAAGTTGAAGAAGAAAGGGTTTTAATAATATATTTTCGACAACTCTAGTATGTTCCAGGTGGGGCTAGTGCCCTACGATGTGGCCCGGCGCGTCGGCGTCGAAGGTCCCGAGTTCGAAGTCGGGCAGACCCGTTTTCTCTTCGCCTTTCTCCCTCTCTCTCTCTTATTTTGTTGTTGTTTTGTTTTGTTTTTTTCCTTTAGTTTTCTTTTTAGTCATTGCAGTTTTGGTTTGTTTCTTTATATAGCCTAAAATGTTTAGACTTACAAATTTTCTTCTCTATTGTCTTATCTTGCCGCATACTGTATTGCGATTTACGTATTTCTAGTAAATTACTATATAAATCGATGATTTTGTAAATTTTGTTTCTCTATAAAACGTGTCACTAGGAAGTTTCACGCTGCGACAACAACGGCAAAGAAATGTACCAACAAGTGTGCTGCACGTTCAAAAGTTCTATCATGGCTAATTAGACTTATGTTTCTTGCTGTTCTCATTGCCGACGCCGTTTAGCATTACATGCACGATTTTATTTTTTTTCAGTGTAGTTTGAGTAAATTACCGGTATAAGTATATTAACGAGAGCTTCGCTTTCAGTATACAGACAAAGGGTTTTAGTACGGCCTATCAACAGAAGGGCTTGCGGTCACCTCTTGCCTTGCTGACACCCCGATAAAACGGACAGTAGCTAAATTCCCTGCAAAAACAAATTACCGACGTTTGATTGAAATAAACTCATGCTATTACGGACTCTCGATAAAGAGGACACTAACTCGACGTCCCTACAGTGTCCCCTATAAAGGAATTGACTGTATATAATAGTATACAACTGTATCCAACTAGTGGTCTACTATCAATGCTGCGTTCTGATTGTTGAGGTACTACTAGGCTATATGTCATAGCCCACTAGTAACAAAAAGCGCGGGCTTTTTGGCAGCAAAAAAGGATTAAAGTCTAGCTTTAACTAGCTAAAAGCTTTTTATTCTCGATATTTTTGACCTACTAGTTGGATTTTTCTAATAAAACAATTATTCCTCTCGCCCTCATGGCCTCTGAGTCAATAGCCCATTCGCCCTTCGACCTCATGGGCGATTGACTCAGAGCCCATTCGGGCTCGAGGAATAATAATTGTTAAATATCCGTCAGGGAGCTTATAACCGGAATATAGAAAAAGCGCTTCGAAACAATCTCAGATAGAGCAGATCAAAATACGTCCATTTTTAAATGGTTTTTGATTAACCCTCAAAACGTCGAATTCAGTATTTCATTACACTAGAAAGGGGGGCTTTAACTTCCGGGGAGGGGACTTAAATTCAGTTATATATGATGGGTGTTTTTTTGTTTTTAGTGGAGCACCATGGGTAAATAAGAAAATTTTGTCACCTATGATTCCAAGAAATTTTGGTTCTGACAAAATCTTGCGTAAGTCGGTACGTCCGTTCGTCCACCCCTTCGTGTAAGCAGAGGTGAAATTTCGCATTTCAAACACCTGCGTGTTTTGGCGGTAAATTGCATGGCCACCCATTCTTGAAGAGAAAAAATAACAACAAAGCTGTGTTCTTTTTTTTCGACTAAATTTTAATGTCTTCACTGACGTGGATAACAGAGAAAGAGCTGAAGCGAGAGATAAAATATAAAGAAGACGAGTTTCGTTAGAAGAAAAA